CGCCCCCAGTCAGTTCCTTCCTCGTTATGTGTTGCAGTATCCCCAAATAAAAGGAAGAGAGATTCTCACATGGCAAATCACGTGATTTTCACGAGTACTATAAGGACGCCGAGGGATCGGCATCTCCGAATGCTTTGAACCTCACAGTGCCACAATGAAACGATGCACTCATGCAAGCGCAATAGAATGGAGGTACAGAAGAGCGGGGTAATGTGGCAGGAAAAAACTCATCTAAGTGACATCGTCAAGAGAGACAAAATAGAACCAGTGACGTCATCCCCTTCGAGCCCCCTTCCCCGGTGGGATGTAGCCTAAACTTTTTTATTCTTCGAATATGGGTTTTATGTCACTCTCCATCGTGTTACGATATTAGTTCTGGGGCCTTCGAAGTATCGAATCTCGACGCTTCGTTACCGGCCCGCTTCCTGATGATGTTCCCGGGGTTTCTGGGCAGAACAGACCAGGTGAGAGACGGGATCGATGCCTTCATCCACGGCAGAAAGGCAATCGTCTCGTTCGGACAAACTGGGGATCTCCCCTTGTGGATCCCGATCAATCACGGGCCGGGAAACGAACATTCTGCATTGGAGATAGGCTTAGGTTTATTCCCTGGAGACTCGAAGGAGGGGCTTCGTCTCTTTTGGGGAGGGAATCGTCCTCCAGTCTAGTGCTTGGCAGTTCGGTTCCCTTCCGGTCGTGAGGGACGACGAGGTCCAGTTTCTTGCTTTTCGAATACGCTTTCGCAGGAATTCGTCAGTCGTCGCCGATAAATGTCACATTTAAGTATACGGAGACCGTATCAGAGACAACTTCTCCCGTTGTTGTTCCTTCCCAATTTAATGGGCCTTCCTTCCCGAAAGAAGAAGACGATCGTAACGTGCCAAAGTTCGAGGCAGTTGTTCGCCGGGCACGGGAATATCTATCCCTGGCACTCTCATCGACTTCTGGGGCTCTTGAGAGTTGGACGGGCGGCAAAATTATGGTATTGGTATCTTTGGAATTAGTCTAAGAGAGAGGGGATTTTGTTTGTGACCAAATCTCAAGAGGGGTGTCTTCTAAGTTCGAGCAGTCGTGTTTCTAATTTCGATACGGCTTGTTCTTAGTCAGTAATGCCCGTAGGGTGAAAAAAGGACAACTATTCAATGCGTTCCAGATGTTTCATGGTAGACACAAAACTTGCTACCAAAAAGGAAACATTTCTGGAGGTTTAACTATAGACGCTGTTAAGTTAAAATTTTGTGGGATGATAGAAGTAAATTAGAAGTTTTTTTCGGAGTCATTAGTACATTTTGTAAAGAATCAATATGGTGCCCTGGAGTATGGTTTCTTCACTTTTTTTGTAATTTTTATTTCAGTTTCTAACAGAAACTTCAATGATTCCACTCTTTCTTCCATTGTGGATAGCGATGACTGATCACCTTAACGATAGCAATTGATGATTGGGCACACATTTTCAAGCGGCCGATTTCCAAAAAGTATTGTTGCTTTAGTGGATTAGGTTAATTTAGAAATACGCATTTTAATGCACAAATAGCTGTTGGGATTCTGAATTAAGGAAAGATCCCTCGTCGGGGATATATTCCCTATGGGTAAATTGTTGGAGGACCATGTTTTTTTTAACTTTTCCGCTCCAGTTAAACTTGCAGATATGATCGCTGAAATTCGTTTGAGAAGTAGTTCTTTAGGTGCTGATATAAGGAAACATCCTAGTTTTGAGGTATGTCCGCTGGGTGAAAATATTTCGGGAGGGAGCCTTCTTGATTTTGATGGGCAAAATCTCCGTTTCAATTGAATAACAAAAGGTATTGTAAGAAGGAATACTTCTAGGGGCAACTTTCTCAGTAAGCTAACAGCCTCTTCACAGGCGCCCCCCCCCCCCCCCACCGAAAATAAATTTGAATTTTTTGCAGTCTTCTTACAGAGACGATAGGGACTGATTCATGTATGACAGTGATAGTGGTTGATAAGTATGTTCCTGATATCATGCTGAAATCTTGTGCAGTTGCTCTTGCAATGGTGATTTCGAAAAAGAAATTCAACATTTCGGATATTGCACCCTAGGGGCTCTTTTTTGAGCGGGATCAACGACTGTGAAGCATCTGCATGGCAGCAGGGAGCCAAATGAACGTCTTTTCTAAAGGGAATCTTCATAAAATATCATAGGGATGGATCTCTGAAAGAGTAACACAATGCAAGATTTTTTATCTTGACTTACGAATGATTCTATTCTGGAACAATAGACGAAGACGAAAATTCACGAAAATAGAACGTTTAGTTATTCTTTTGAAGTCTTGGCTTCCCATGGTGTCTATTAAATTTTCCGCTATTAGATCCATTTCTCCTAAATTTTCTCCAGTATGTTCCTATCATAATTTCGACAGCGTCTTATTGTGCATGACCTACGAGACAAAGGAAGATATCACCCTCGTGCTACTGTCACACAGCATTGGAGTAACCATTTGAGTACACTCTTAGAAAATTCCGAGCGTTTGGGGAGTAAGAAGTGAGCACACCGTGAGCTTTTCGAATTTACTCTATTATTACTCACCAAATGCTCCCTCATCGCTCGAGTCCAGGCCATAAACAAGCTCATATTCCTATTGAGAACCCTTTTGGAACTCGTATGACTTTATCCGCATAGGAGACCCAGAATATACAGAGTGTCCGTGAACTTCATTCAATCAGACCTCAATGAAATGAGATAATAAGGGACTGATATCCCAGATACTTCACAGTACCTATAAGAGGTGATCCAACCTCTGACGTGTACTGTAATCAGTACAGCCAGAGGTAGGGCAACACCAATGCGAGAACGAAAGCGACACACAATATATGTGAGAATTTTCTGATTTGTATGACATCCCTATCACTTTCTGAGGGGAGCGTTTTTACTCACAGAGGAGGAGAGCAATTTTACGTCTTGGTGATGGAGTAAATTCGCTCCTTTTCCAGAGTGAAAGGGGGGTGAAACTGGAGTTAGCTATTTTACTCTCTTTTTTGAGAAAAATCGCTCCCCTTTTTCTAAGAGTGTAGGTAACACCTCAGAGACAGACAGCAGCTTCTACAATGATGTGTGAGACGGGGCTATATTATTGATGAAAACACGGAGTAAATCTTCGATAATTCCAAACTTACGAATTTGCACAAGAAATGAACTGTCACAAATCGTATTAAAGACCTCGAGGAACATATACTGTATATTGTATTGAGCATACCGAATTCGGGCGCGCAGTTATATTATAATTGCCCCATGGGAATCAGTTTAACCAAGATAAACTTATTCCCATAGACGCCCATTATGAAAACGAATCAGTGTAAAGTTAAACAAATCTGGTGCATGTCACCCAATGAAAAAATATTGACCTAATCCCGGTGAAAGCCGGTATGAGATCAGGTCAATATACAGATTCGTTTGTGGCAAAGAGACGCACCTACACTTTTTTTTCGCAAATTTAAGCATTGAAAATTTTTCACCATGGGAAAGGCATGAACAGCAATGAGCCTTCCTGGAACTCAACCTCAAGGTGCATACGCAGTGTTCAGGCTAAGCTTGCGTGTTATGTAACCAACTACAACTTTAATTTCTTTACCAGCCTTTGTAGCAGGCGGATCCATCATGCACAAACGTAGAGAGAAAATGTACGGGAGCGAACACAAGGTTTGAACCTTCTATATTTGCTGCGATGCCATATCTATGCTGCACGTCGCATATTCTCCTCGCATCTTCCAATCTACCCGCCACATGCTCTTCCTGTTCCCAATAGTTATCGAAATGGCCCATCCCTGTAATGAGCTTCATTGACTTCTTGTATCTCACTGAATTTCATCACGTTTCGAGTAGTTTTCTGGATGCTGACAGCGATAGTTGACGGAACGAGAGGAGCTCTGGAGGCACTGGGACCAGCTACGCCCTCTCCTCAATACTTCTCCATATATGACTCTTGGCTTCATGCGGTAGATGGCGTTCTGTCTCACTTCCCTTCTTATAAGGCAGGGGTCGGGAACCTATGGCTCATGAGCCAAATTTGGCTCACAAGCCAAAAAGTTTGGCTCATTGAGTCATGACTGAAAATCATGGTTGTTCCTCATTTTTCTCATGTATCAAAGAATGCATTTGTCTGTTGCCAACTTCAGGTGAAATTCTGTTGTTCTGAAAATATTTCGCTCACAAGCACTTAGCTCAATCTTAATATGGCTCACATGGCCAAAAAGGTTCTCGACCCCTGTTCTAAGGATTCGACAGCCACAATCTCAATACAAAAAAAGAACCTGCTAAGGATATCTTTGGCTCTCAATTGATCTTAGGCATATTCGTAGATACAGTAATTTCCCGCTTAGCGCTGTTTCGTTATAGTGCTCTTGATCCTGGAGAGAAAAATTTTTACTGAAAACCAAAAAAAAAAGAGGAAAAAATCCAAAATACAAGTCAAAAGTTGAGTCAGAATATTCACAGCTCGATTCGCATCTCCATACATACAATGGTATAATGACCCCTTTTAGCGCTGCTTCAGTTAGCGCTCTCTTTTCCAGGAACGCATCCTGAGCGATAAGCGGGGTATTTCTCTATTTGTTAATGAAGATATTTAGATATAAATTCTTAGATATTTTACTCCTCAAAAACCTTTTGCTCTACAGTGTGTCCGTAAGGTCATGCACCAATGGGGCGATATAGGTAATGTCGTTTGTCTCTTTCCAGGTGAGAAACCCCTACTTGTTCAAAATGTTATCCCATGAGTTCGCAACAAGTCTGGATGGGATACACCGATTGGCCATTCTAGGGGTTTCTCACCTGTAAAGCGACACACAATCGACATTACCCATATTGCCCCATTGGTGCGTGACTTTATGAACACCCTGTACTTTAGACACCATAGTTTAAAATGCATCAATTTGAGCAATATTGCGAGTTTATCAAAGACACGAACGTCACCCGGTCCACAAGGTCTCTACTTCAGGCCTGCAGAGGCGAAGCAAGAAAACATGGAAATGAAACTCAGGAATCTCAAGATCATGACTATATTGGAATAAAGGAATAGACAAACCAGAAGAGTCACACCATTTCCAACATAGCTCCAAAGGAATAAAAATGTCAAAGAAGGAGGAATATAAAAGCAAACAGAGACAAAGGAAACAAGGAGTTGTTTTTCTTGTCTTCCTTTTTTTTATTTCGTTTTCTTTGTCATTGTTTTCTCTTTATATTCCACCTCTTCCTTACGGCTTTCTTGATGCTTTTTATTCAATTGTTTTGGAGCCTGTTGCGTTGATGTAACTCCCCTTTGGACACTGTTTAGAAAGGCTCAAAGAAAGGGTATAGGGTAATAGGAAGAAGAAATATCACAGGCCAGTTGAGGCATGGTTGCAACTCTGCAATAATTGAATACAGTTGCCCTGACAGCGTCAAATGTGGCAGATACCAAAAGGCCAAGGAACAACAAAAGACAGCAGGGAGAGCAAGCAGCCTGAGAACGTCCCTGAACTGAGAGGGAAGTGAAATTCACGAAGGAGATGCACTTGGACACGTGATCGATTACTGAAGACTGGTTGTATCACAGACTTGGGAGAAGAAGGCGCAAGGCTAGTCTCACGAAGACAAAACCTCTTTCTTTGGAGACATGGTACGATTCCCATCCGATCCTGGGGAACCCGAGGAGGAATTGCATCCGTCCAAGGTCACGTCTTTCGCTGCCTCCTGCAGCTTCAGCAGCATGTTCAACTGCAAAGGAAGGGAAAGAATCAATTCCAAAGATCGACATGAAAGACACCATATTACAGCAAGTAATCGCATTTCGCGCTCATATACAGTGGCAGGATCAAGACCAAGCCTCACCAGAGGATCAGATTCATTCTCCCCGATATCTGCATCATCAGCCTCTAACGTTTTCTTCGATTCGGTCTCGTATCCGATGTCTTCCGCTTTCAGTCTACAAAATTATAGACAAATATGGGTTGATAATAATGACAGTGAATACAATCAAGGAATTCAGATACAAATAGGGTAGTACAATATGGATTTTAAAGCGATCGATGTCACTGACTATATATTGACCATGTGACTATATATTGGCCATCCCCACAAGAAAAAATCACATGGGTGATCTGGTTGGAACTGGTTATATACCCACTTTCCACACATGGATCGGACGGTGAGGACCGATAGAGTGGCCAGCAAGGAGTCCTGATTTGAGTCCATGTGATTTTTTCTTGTGGGGATGGGCTAAAGAACATGTGTATGCCAGCAAACCTGCAAACTTGAATGCATTAGAGAACTCTATCCGACAAGTTTTTCATGCCTTGCGCCAAAAGAGTTGCTTCAAAGATCAGTGGAACATGTGGTCGTGCGATTTAAAAAATGTGTAGAGAAAGGCTTATGTTGAAATTAACAACTGTCATGTGACATGGTAATAAACGAGCTTTAAAACAAAAAAAGATCTGATGCTCTACATGTAAAAACCGCGAAGTTATTCCAACTTTCTAATAGGGAGGTACTTATAGATCACCCAGTACAGTATATATTTATCGTCACATCGCTAACCCATCAAGTAGGAATCATACATGAAGGAGAAAACCTCTGGGTACAGGTGAAATACACCATCATGGAACCCATAAATCATGTTATCACTTTCTGCAGGGCTTTCAATGCATTGATAAATAGCTACAAGTAATGTAACTGATAAACTGTGAACAAAGGGTGGAAGAATGAAAAGGTATTTCGCAAGATGTTACACTCAGTTCCGAGCAATACAATACTACGCGATCTATTTTGCACCGTGCCTGGGTCTCATGCTGGGAGGGGCCAGAGGCCGGAAGCCAGCGAAGGCCGAAAGAGATGAATAAAAGTCCGCCTCTTCGGAGTGGCTTGTCCCTCCCCCCCTTCCTCTCGCACTCAATTTCAGGGCACCGTGGCGTCCAACTATCACTTTCTGCTAATTTCCATTCTGAGTAATGAATTTTGTACTTCGTTTGTTAGAATGCAGATACGCTGCAACAGAGAAACCATCTGAGAGAGCTCGTGAATTAGTTCACCTAAAAAAAAAAAAGGACTGGGGACAACTGGGTCTGTTAGGGGAGGTCACAAGGCGATGCCATTTAGGTATAACCTTTCCTCTCTCCCTTCCCTTCTCCTTTAAACAAGCCGCACACTAGCAGCTAGGTGGAATGCCACAGGATGATGCATGTCATTTCCTTCCTTTGTATTGGCACGATGGCCCGGGGGTGTCACGCTGGAACGAAACCTTCCGATTTGTTTTCCTTCATTAACCCCCGGCAATGCAGATCTATTACTAAGAAAGTGGCATAAAGCGATGAAAGTTTAAATGTATAGGTTTTCCTTCTTCAACCCATTATGTATGCATATTGGAAAAATTGAAGGATATTGAGATGGGTTAGTTAGAAGCTGAAAAATATATACATCACTCTATATAGAGATAGCCAAAGGAAAAATTTTCGATTGCGAGTAATCAAAAGTAATAATCGGTACAGGCTTAGGCACAAAGTTAAGTAGGCCATAATTAATGTATTCCCTTCGTTGCTTGTACCGCAGCACGAAGATAAAACTTCAAGCATTAAAATTTGTTTATATTAAAAAAGGATCATGACACGAAGGAAAACTATCTAACGTCAAATGAGAATGCATTAATTTTTTATGCTCCATGAGTAAAATTGAGCATTAAAAAAAGGTGAAATAAGTTTACCGATGAAGAGTGGAGGAGGCATGAGAGTCATTCCAGGGATAGGTTTCCACAATCCACTGGGTCGGGTCTTCCCAGCCGCCCTTCTTCCCATAAACGTGAACTCCCTCCCGCAACGCTTCCAGGATGTAAGGCACCAGGGAATAATTCCACAGGTCTCGGAACCACACCTGTGAACCTCCCACATCCGCTGGGCAGTTCAGGAACAGCCGAGGTCCTGCACATCAACACAACCACACATCCATGACGTGAATCACCATGTCCAAGAGGATCGAGACATGAAGAGATGAAGAGCAATATTTTACCGATGGTGAGGTCAGAAGAGGCATGAGCTTCAATGAACTTGTTGATGTGAGCCCAGAGGCGTGCAATCCAGTCAAAGATGCGGGCCAGCTGGGGAAGGCGGCTGCGATGCGTCACCTCAGCAGCAATTAGCCGTCGCTTCAGGTAACGATTCAGGAATCCTTTCACTGGCTCCACGTGGTTTGCATATAATACCCATCTGTCGAAAAATCCACTTAGGTGAAATGCAGTTCAACTCATCTAATTTCCAAACAGGGCATATAGGGCGAACCTGAAATTATGGTGAAGTTGAATATTAGTGGGGGAAGGACTGGTTTGGCTCATGGTGCCAATGATGTAAGGACACTTATGATGAGAAGGATTGAGGAATCCAGAGAAGATGTCGGCCAGAGACCCAACGTAATGGAGATTGTCCAACAGGATCACAGTCGGTACTTCTCCCAATCCACTCTCAACCTGTTCTCCAAGGTTTGTCAGGTACTGGTGAAGCTCCTTCCCATTCTTGTGGTCCACACTGTCCAAGCCACATCCAAAAATTGAACCTGATCCAACTTGCCTTTATTGTATTCTAAAACATAAACCGAATTGGAATTAATCTCACCTGAAAGTGGCAATGGCCTCAGGATTTGGATCTACACCTGATCGGGCAACAAGGAATTCAGCAAGTTTCCTTGCCAGATATGTCTTCCCTGTTCCACATGGACCACTGAGAATGATCCGTCGGTGTTCCGTTAGCAGCGTAATATACCTGTGGGGAGAAAATGTGTGCTCCTCATCCAAATCTCACCTAACTTTCCTGATTTGAGCAAAGTCAAGAAGTGATACCTTTGAAGAACAGACTTGGAGATGAGAGTATCAAATGCAAGCGAATCTAGCGTGCCATGAGAGGCCCCCTTCACTGTGACTTGGATCCCTTGGACATCACCTACTAGGTATCCACATGGAAGAAGTTCTGGGAGAACACCCACCCCAGGACGCCGGTGCACCTCTCCAACCAAATATGAATCTATGCTATCCTCTGTGAGACCCAGGCTTCCCCCTGCATCCAGTCGGGAAGTGTACTCCTATGGATATCCCCCAAAAAATACTTATAAATGTTTAAAATATTTGAGGGAAAGCTTGTGTGTCTCGCACCATAGAGAGTATCCAAAACATAGATGTCTCGGAAGACAAAGATAATACAAGTGTAGTCAATGAGGATTACCTTGAAGATGCGAACAAGGATGTCATCAAGGATGTCCCACTTGGTCTTCCCTGATACATAAATGCTTCCAATGAGGCATTCACCAAATCCCAGCTGTACAGAGATGGTGATGCGATGTCCATCACCCTCCCGGACACCTCCCAACAGGTCTGTGCAAAAATTCATAAAAATAACAGTACATGCATGCTTCCTCTCAATCCTTTGTACTCTTCTAAAACAAGATCTTCTAACCAATAATGGGCTCATGTTGAAGGGAGGTGGTGTGCGTCTCGATGAGGTTAATATTGTCTGAGAGGCTGAGTCGCCTCTCTCCATCACCAGGTGGGAGGGAATTCTGAGAAGAAGTCAGAGACTTGCTGGTGACAAGGCGCTGGAGCCGCTCATTATCGTGACGAAGGTTGAGCATCTCAGAACGCATGCGACTGACAGTCTCCTTAAGGCTCTCAAGCTGATGAGCTGAGGTAAGCGCCTCAAGTCTGATGTCTGTGAGAACCATGTCCTTTTCTCGTAGCTGCTTCTTCAGCTCCTGTACCACATCTGGATGCTCCTTCTCTGGCTCCTTCTCAAATGACCTATCAAAACAAGAAACCAATCTTCACAGGCAATCTCTTCCAGACTAAGAACATGCTGTGTAATGCCCTCACATTTCCAAGGCTCCCATATTTCCTTGTTTTGTTCTGGAAACAATTTTGAATTGATGGGCTATAAGAACTACATATGCTAGCATCCCCTTTACTCTGATTCTTCAGCAATTGCCTGATCAGAAAATAAATGGATACCTTGATTGACACTGAGACATTTGATCTCTGGACTTTCTTTCTCCTCTAGGTTAGATTTACCTTGTAGGGATGGAGAGAATAAAATTGTGCATTTGAAGATAAAGCATACTCTGTCTTCAATGTAGTTGAAGAAATAAGCTAAATTTTTCTGCCACCCTGAAGCCTCCCAAACATGAACAAGAAAGACCTACATTGGTGGGACAATTTTTCGCCCCCTTTCCATCCAGTCTACAATGGCCAATCTGAAAAGTTTGCACTTTCAAAACTGTTTTCAACATTGAATTTGAAACTGCTGTGTAACTAGGATGCCAACTCAACAGTGCAGTTGGTGGGATGAAATCTGAGGACTCACAAATAGGAAGAGCCATCCTTGAGTTTCCCCTTGGTTGAAGGAATTGGGGAGGAAGGTATGGAAAATTCAGGAATGACTCCATTTCCATTCCCAATGCTCCCATTTGTCCCTCTCACATCATCTGCTTCACCATCTTTCCCTGGTGGCTTCTTCACCCCTCGTACAAATGCCTTGCTGAAGGAACTCCTCAACTGTGATGGAGGAGAATGAAAAATGTTAAGTCTCTTCAAGACTCCAAATTGATGAGAATATGGTAACAGACAAAGGAAACAAACCCATGATCTCTTTTTCTTCTTGCGTGCATCTGGTGACTCTGGGGTGTTGGAAGGTGATGCATTGCTGGCATGAGACACCCCACTGCAAGCAGATGACAGACTAGACACAGAATCTGTGGACAGCTGACGACTCATTGAACCTGTACCAAATGGAGAAAAAAAAAAAGTTACAAACCTGGTTTCACGTGGGTAATTCCTGCAACGAAGCATTAGCAGAAACTGAATACTTTAGGAGCCACAGGATGTCTGTTTATTTTAGTGGGTTTCCAATAAATTTTTATTTGCTTTCCTCATTCTTTTTATGTCAGGTTTATATGTCTAGGGATAATTTTCCAAAATTAAAAAATTTCCAACATACCAACTGCTTTCTGCAGAAGTTCCTTACAACCTAAGGACACATGAAAATTAAGCATGTCAGAGAAAATTAGGAAATATTTGATTGACAACAGGAGGTGTATAGATTGGGATTGTGAATTCTACCTTGAAAAACAACTAATTCCATTGCAGAGAGATAAAAATAGAAACAAAGAGTGGAATTGTTCAATGTGCCTACTACTAACCAAAGCTATTGGGTCATTGCACGTCAAATCAAAACATCATAAAACATTACTTTCTCTGATTTTGATCAAATTTGGATTAATGCTCTGTACAATGCACAAGTGATGCACCATCTGAACCTTTCTCAAGGCTTAGAAGACCCACTCCTGAAAACTTAATGCAATCCTCCCACTTAAGAGTGGTGTAGCCAGGAAGAATATGAACCAAAAAATATAGACCTACAGTAAATGTAGGAATAAACAGTTTACTGCATATTAAATTACATTAAATGTAAATAATAATATTTAAGAAATTCTTTAGACACTGCAAATATAAGGACATCAGATCTCAGAAATGAAAGGTTAAACCAGGAAGCTATAAAACTCCAGAATTTCAAGAAAAAAATGGTCTCAACTTTTCTCAGGAGCATCCCTCCTCCCTTTATCCCAATTTAATTTCTGATTATTACTCTGCTACTGAATGCTACATGAGTTCATAGGATATCTTGCAAAAATGAGGGGCCATGGCTGCACCACACAAGCAATGCAATGCAAATGCAAGCAATGCAAAGCCATGCAACGCAGACTGTCACCATGCAATCACACTAAGTCCACATACCACTCTCTTCATACATCACAAAATATCTCAAACAGAATCTTCACAAATAATGAAACAGATAACAATTACCCTATAGATATAAGAATGCCATCTACTCATTTTGCCCCTGGATAAGGAGGGAAAAAAATCAGGAAGTTGGGAATGAAAGGATTCTCTTTTTCAATGAGGATGATTATCATCCTTGGGCAAAGGAGTGCATAAACAATGAACTCCTTTTGTCCAAACTGTCTCCCCATGGGCACCTTCCTGTCATTTCTGAAAGATACAAGCCACCAACTTCCCTTACAGCTTTTCCTCTCCTTATCTTCTTCTCTCCCCTTCAAGGGAATCCCATCATGGAAGAGACTAGTAGTAATCTCTAACTGCATCTAAATTACATGATATGAGAAAATGTCTAGAGCTTGTATTTCTCTTTCAATATAGAAATAATCATCAGCTTTGATTTGCACTTGGCTTCATTGTATAAAGCCAAGAAAGAGCGCCTGCTTGAAACTGCCAAGTCAAGAGAACAATGAATTGTTGGTATAGATGGTCACTCCTTTGAGGGGGGAATAGGAGGGGATCTTATTCTTGCCTAATGATCACTTTCACAACCCATTCAGCTTAAGTTATTCCATCAAGTAAATCTTTTAGGTTTGGTTTGAATAAAAACACTCATAAGATGTAAAGTAATATCTCATCTTGTCAATGCTTGCTATTGCATCGCCAGCCATCATAATACATCAAACTGCCATGGTTACCATTCTGTAACAATATATGGGCACATCCCATTCTTCAAAAGAAGTGTCTCATGGATTAATTTACAGATGCAATAATAAGAAATTGAGTCAAATTCAATTTAAATTGTGTCCCAATTTTGCACATCATAACTGAAAAGTTACCTATAAGATTTCCCTCAGAAAAATAATGCTCAAAGGAGTGACCAGGTGGAACAGGGAAGGGCATGCTCAAGTTCATCTCATCTCACCACCAACTCCAATGGGGGAGGTAGGGGACACAGTGTCCTTGTTGGAGTTAAATGTATGCCTGCGGGCCAGGCCAAGGGTAAGTGAGGCCTCTGCATGTGGGGGTGGGCTCCATGCACCTTTCCATGGCGATCCCATGCCCATTCCCATGCTACTACCAACACTCCTACTACCAGGACCCGTTGAGGCACGGGTGCTGGTCCAGGTACTGGTACCGGTCCTACTTTGTAAGTTCAGTCCTGCATCATTTCCTTGCTTCCTCAGGATATCAATGGTTGCCTTCAGTTCCCCAAGCTCATGCTCCTGCAATCAAGAGACACAGATGGGCTGAGTGACATACTGTATCAAACCCTACATCACAGGATGGGCAAAAAAAGTGGAAAACTTTCTAATCTTCATTCAACCTCATTGCTTTATGGAATCTGAGAGGAATTTAGCAGATAAATCTGAGATAAATATTCTTCAAATAAGAAATATTGATGCATAACATGTATGCATGCGCAAAACATCAGCAGCCGGTCAGAAAATCCCAAACGATGGAAATGTCCAGACTTGTACTTGGGAGAAGTCATCCATGCAACTAGTCATCTTCATTTTCCAGAATATTCACATAATTTATAAATTTAATCTTAATTTCCACGATATACACCCAAAGATGAAGAACCTACCAGCGAGGTTTACAAAAAATTTCCATGAATCTGTCAGTAGTAGTTTGTTGTGACACACCCTCAATCGACTTCATCTTATGCGCCACCTTTTTTGCCCACCATGTATATAAAATCAAAAGGGGGAACATCACTTCACCTTCTTCTCCGAATTGGAAGTAAGGTGCTGGAGTCTCTGGGTCATGTTGGACAGGCTCTGCTCAAACGCTGCCACCACGTGAGCCTGGAATAATAAAACCACACCACATACAGGCCTCAATATAGCACGTTAATCAATACCATAATTACCACAAATCTATGATCAGCTTTAAAACGGCTCCATTGGTCTAATTCCATCATTGAAACTTTCAATGGTGGAAACATTAAACGACCATCAAAATGCATGAAAATCTGCTCTAAAATCCCATCCCTCGGTATGGAAATGGCACTCTTTCCGGGCAGAAGCCTCCCTGTTTGCAAGACCGCATCTAAGAAAAATAAACTCGAGGGAGAACACGTCATAAGGTTCCACATTCTTCCGTACCTTCGTAAATGCTTCACACTACTTCTCACAAGTGATCGCTAAGAAGCCACCTTACTAAAAATTTTCCATCAACGGTTTCTCCTCAACTTCAAGTACCGTTGTCCAAGGATGTCGAAAGACAGCGACCCCAGGGGTCGGAAACAAGTGCACTTTCTAGCAAAGAACAAGTGCGTGCCGAAGTAATAGTCATAAAACATGACAAGAGCAGTCCCGCGATGCTACAGAAGCGTGCCGGTCACTTCTACATTTCTGAAGTTACTCATTTGTCAGCACTAAGGTTTCTGACCAAGAAAGTTTCAACCATTATCCACATTCAAAAGGGCACAATCATCTGGTACAGTGGTTTCACATCTTTCTTCATAATTCTTCCCCGATGGGAATACTTGGATAACGTGGCATGTATGAAAAATTGGTGCATTCCATTGCACCAATTTTGCTTAGATGCCAAAGCGCTACGAAGTTCCAGTGTGAATCCTTGCAAAATCTGCATTTAGTTTCTTCGCCAGATTGGCCGATACGATCCTTAGCATAGAAATCAATCACCCATCATAACGCTTCTTTCGTTAACACGAACACATGAAATCGAAACCTACAACAGGGCGTTAGGAAGGTGAAAACAAGGGCAAGACCCTTTGTTTTTTGTTCTGCCCCTGAGGAGCGTAAGGAATTTTTTTGGGGGGTGAGGGAAGATGAGTAAACAGAAGAAGGAAAAAGCCATTCGTTCCATTCCACATGGTCCCTCTTTTTTTTCGGGTGCTCATCTCCATAAGGAGATTCCAAAGAGAGAAGACAAGAGAATGGCCCCGAGGGGGAAGTGGAGTTTGGATTGTATCAGAATACTGAGTGAGGCATCCTCCGCTTGTCATAGGATTCAGTCATTCATTTGAGAGACATGATAGATTATATAACACTATACACTCGGTGTATAGACCCTGTGCATTAGTGCAGTCCCGTTTAACGTTTCGCTGTTGAGAGATTACCGCGATGGGGCCGGCGGGGGTCACATAAAATTTGGCTATTAATAACAGACCATGAAATCCCCCCGCCCCCCTGGAGTATGGCATAATGCGCAATGTATATACCTCTTGGAAGAGAGGGCAGCTTCTATATTTGTTCCTCCGGGTGGCAATCTCCCACCAGGGCAACTGTTTCCGAGGACGAAGGCAAACTCTTTCCTCCCATACAGTCTCCATCGGTTGGAACTGAATCCTATCCAACCGATAACTACTGCTATTCCCTACACTTCCCAGTCCCACCACGTCTTTCCTGGTCGGTGCACACACATACGAGTAAGGTGACGCCGTGGAGACATCCGTGCAGGAGAGAGGTCGCTGGATGGGGCCAGGTGCCCCAGGATAGGCCCCGTTCATTCCTCCTCGACTGCAATGTGGCTACATCTTCCTGTCACCTCACAATAGGGATATCACTTCCCTCTCCTGCTTCCATGATTACGAACGTACATAGTACCTTGCACTGGAAAGACGAGATGAAAGAGGTCACTTCACGTCTCTCTTCGGAATGCTGTTCGGCTACCTTCCAATTATACCTGAGGAATGCCTTTCGTGACGTTAAGGGGACTGGCTCCTTCCTACAAGTACAACTGCCGACCTCTTCCATGACCCCAATCCCTCGTCTCTCAATAGGCCTATAACAGCATGACTCACAGATCCCCTCACTCAAACTCAAAGGGCACAGGGCCGACTTCTCTGTTTATTTCCCTTTTCTCAGATACAGGGGAAGACTGCAATAAATCAGGCTGAGCTTCCTGGAGGCTCTGAATGGGGGCCCTACCACGTTGCACTCAGTTGTGAGAATTTATTTTGTCATTCCCCCGTTGACCTTCAAAAACAGGCTTCGACTACGGAGATACCTCCCTCCAATGTCGCTGCGGGCGTAGGAATCCAAATGGAGCATGAAACGATTGCCCAGCCATGTGACTCCAATCACCCACCCCTTCACAGTATGGAGTACATTCTGGCAAGACCAGAGTGAAAAACTTTTCAGGCTTTTTTTTTTGAGTGAGGTAGAAGAGGAGTGTTTTAGCTGAGGGCGATCCATCATGTGGCGTAGAAAGCATATTTTAAGAGTCTAGACTTACGCAGGGGAAGAAAAGATGGTTATCTCAGAAGAATGGCTAGAAGCACTCACGAGCTAGCGAAAATACTTCTTCGCCATTCCCCCTGAAACACTAGAAGGGCCTCTTTATAAGGAAAAGTCTGAGTGAAACAACAAAATATAACCCTCATCCTGAGTGAAAGATTCGTGCGGATGCCCGATGGGGTTTCCATTTCCGCTTCCTATCTTCCTGATCCGAATAATGATGGCAGCCTCAGGGGAGGTAGCGGATAGCCATTGACGATTGACAATGCTCCGTCACAATAATTATTGCGATAATTACACTTTTAGGAGGCCTACGAGCATTTGACTCCATTTCATAGATAGAGCTGATTGTTCACGTTAGACTACGGGAATAAACGAACGGTGCCATTATTCTTCACGCATTTCACCTCGTATTGGAACGGATGGTGACCTATCAACACGTGCAAATTACATCAAGCATATCCACATCCACCCACAACGTTCTTTCTACGAGGGGGATTTAATCTCTTCTTCACCCACACATACACATATTTATGTGCTAATGCTATGCGCTCTCGCTCTCTCTCATCTTCCTGCATACCTTTGCCATGATTCCTATCATTGACTCTATTCTTGGGTTTCATACTTGTTCATAATATTCGCTTTCCTATGTATTTGCCCCGTTTCACCAAGCCCATGCCGTTTCACGTAGGAATGTGTGAAAAGTCTCCCCAAGGCGACAAGACGCAGCTTTTCTTCCAATCGGCTTATGTAGATATGTATACATACACGTGGTGGAGTCCCGAGTGTCATGCTTCATCACGGGTCGTGACTAAGCAAACCTTGGCCTGTCCCTCGTGCTCCCCCCATTACAACGCCATTATCAAGCAATCAATTTCGACCAGGTACACTTGGTTTATCCCTGTACCACATCTGTGGATCTGCTGCTGGGAGTTGTGAGTGAGGAATATCTCCTGAACGCAGTGCCAATGTCCCCGACCAGGCCGATAGAGGAGATCGTCAGTAATTTCAAGTGAAACTTCGTACTAGAATCCCACTTCATCGAGTCCATCGAATAACAAAATAACACTGAGAGCCACCTAATATTGAAAGACGTCAAAGTTGTCAGATGAAAGGAGTGAGGTAAATCCTGCGGGCAAATGAAACCAAGAGGGCCCAGATGGCTCTGCAGTCGAATTAATGATGCTAAACCTCCATTGTCCCAGGAATGATCTTTGGAGCTAAATCATGCACCTCAATGTAAATAAGTAAACTGTCTGCAAGTCTTGACAATCAGCAAGTGCCTGCTCCCATCATGATCTTCAGAGAATGATCCATACTTAATCATTATACAATAATAGTGGAAACAGGCCTTCAACCAAAATTATCTCTATAGCAGGCTGGGCAGTCACGCATCAATACATCCTCTTCAGCACGCACCATTTTAGGTTTCAAGTTTCCAAAAAAAAAAGTTACGAATCCGATTTTCTTGATCTATAACTTGTGTTTTCGTGTTTGCAATCTACCTTCCCCATATCATCGCCCAATACCTCCTCTTCCATCGCGGAACAATGACGCAGATTCCCCTATTTCCCTGACTTTTTGACAAATTTCCCTTTGTAGATTTTTCCGGCCATGGGTACGCAAACCCCATCACGAAAAAGGCGGGCGGGCGATGAAGTACAAAGGGAGGATGGATGATAACACCCGTGGATGGATCTCTCTCACACATGCACACACCTACACACACCCACACACCCAGACCTAGACGCGTTGAAGGGCCGAGAACAACTGACGGGGGATGCGAAGGGAGCCAGGCAGGGGAAGAGGAGGAGTCAGTCAGGGGACGTGACTTGAATCTTCATCCTCAACCTCACACTAAATACACCCCAAACCTTTCTTTCTTTCCTTCCTTTTACTTATACTACATTACTCTACGCTGTACACCCAGACTCTCGACAAGCCGGTGATTGCCAGTATTCAACATCATGAAGAAGCCCCCTCGTTAAGGATTTACCTGGGTGATTTTTTTCCCCCTCCCCTCCTTTCTATTCTTCCCCTCTAACCGTCAATAGCGAGCTATGATAGATATCGAGATTCATCCGCCATGACTTCGAAATACAAGGACAGGGCTGAAACGCGATCTTCCGTCCGTCAGCTATTCATGAAACAGGAAGTGATGTATCAGAATATATGAACCAACATTAACCCATTGACGTCTAAGCCCGTATATGTATGTTTAGGATGATACTGTCCCCAGAAACCACGCCCACATAGAGTCGGAGATGTCATAGGGATCATTCAGGGGTTCCTTCCCTTATTCCGCTGTCAGTCAGGAAATGCAAGGCCGAATCAACAGAAATAGCGAAGTGATTTCCCCATTGCCAGAGCCAGCGGTCATTGTCACCTGACAATGGCGAAGCAGCCCCCGAGGCGACGCAGAGAGAATTACACTCATTTACCAGTCGCATCTGCCATTTACTTCGCCGTATTAGGAGAGGAAAAGAAAAAAGGCATTATTCCCTGGTCCAGGGTGGTCCAAAAATATGTGCATCTTATCATGTGAAGAGGTCGTGACTTGGAATTGAGCTTCTACCCGCTTCTGCCCTGACACAGGTGTGCGGAATCGGAAAACTGTTTATATGACAGTATTATTTTTACTTTATATTTTTCATTATAAAAACTGCCCGATCTTCGCATTTCTTGAGGTTAGGTCAATTATCTTCCCTCTGTTGCTCACCACTCTGACGGAAAATGTCCACATCGTTAAAAATGATATTTTTTTCGTTCGGCTTGCAAACATATGACACCAGCAAGAATTCCGGCAATGCGAACGTAACTCTTAAGAAATGCGAGAGGATGACCGTCTCTCCGTGCCAACTACCAACTACTTCATCGGCTGCACACCATCTCCACGCATCCTCCTCTTTCCAATTTTACTCTTTAATTCCCAATTACATAGTGTACATCAGGTATGACGATATACTCGGAGGCTCGATACTAAACCTGGCTTTGCTTGTCTTTCTTTTTGGGGCACCCAGTGAATATATGGCAATGGTGGGAATCAGCCGAGCGAAAACGCGTGGCTGCAAGGATGGTGATTCACGCCATCGCTAATTGGAGGGAAATTCGAGGGGGGAACCCCCGTTCTCTCTGGTTCTGTCTCTCTCTATCTCTCTGTCTCTATTTCCAAGTTCCACGAACGGAAGCACGCGCCTTGAAGAAGGGCGAACAAAAAAAGAGAAAGAAATGGTGGATCTCCCATAACTGTTTCCTGTGGCAACGCACGGAGGTCGGCATGCATGTGTAATATACAAGAGAACAATGGGAAGCTGAAACTCAGCCCAGATTTCCCTCTCTCTCTCTTACTCTCCCTCCATCACGAATTCTGGCACTTGAGAGAGATGGAAGTGCGAGATAGAGAGAGTGCTTTGTTTCCCGGGCGATTTCTGTCACGACTCAATCATGGGCCGAAGGAAAGCCCCTTAAAAAAAAAGGACCTTCATCCTCTTCCACAAGAGCAAGCATGATAGCATCCCAGTCCATCCCTCGAACAGTTTCCCCCAATAAGTGAGGCTATAGGACAGTGAAGTGCAAGGTGTCATCAGAATGGGCATCCCAAACCTCGTACTCCTTGGGTTCAGGGATCAAGAATCCCTGCCTACCTTTTATCCATACCTATTACGCATGGTCCTTCACAGGGATGGAAGCTGGGCTTCATCGCCAGGGGGAAGACAAGCTCCGGGAATATTCATCATATTAACTCACTCGGATGATGCATGGATCCGCCACGTCCCTTTGATATCGAAAGGGGAAGGGAGAGAGAGAGAGAGAGAGAGAGAGAGAGATTTATGTAGAAGGCGGGAGAGATAAAGGTCCTGGTCCTGAAGGGAAATAGAGAAAGGGTCGAAGAATGACGAATGCCATTGCCCGCACTAGCATCGCGAATCCTGATGCGATTTTAAATTCCTCCCATTATCGAGACTCGCAAGACAGGAGACTGAAAGGGAATGTCATTCAAGGGACCTTGAGAGATCCTAATGGGAAATCTCTGTCGCTCATACGATTATTCCATAGAGTCGGAGTGGATGAGGTCATGTCAACCCTTCCATCCAAACATCGGCTTCGTGAGACTTCCACGTGGAGTAACATGCCTTTCCAAACAGACGGTATAGAGTGGGCGGCTAAAAGAGGAAGCACCTTGAGTATCCAAAGAATCAGTGAGAAAAACCGTTACGGAGGGAGATGGCAGGATACATCTCCTACCGCAAGTCTATCTGAGCCCTCATTTATAATCCATGACCTTCTTTCAAGTTCTTCCTCTACCTATCAGATCTATTTCATCAAGCATCCAGGAGCAGCTGGAACCGGTATGGGATCACCAGCTCTGGACTGATTTGCGAGACCAATCCTGTCATCTATGCTATGCAGAGAGAACTCTACTATTCCAGGCTTCCTCGAGATGTCGGGACCGTCCATGCACTTCTCGCATCCGGATTTTGGATACATGGCAGTCTTGTCCAAGGATAACATTCTGCTTTGGAGTAATTTAATGCACTAATGGAGATATCAGTTTGGCTGCGCCTCCATTTTGCGATTACTCGTCCGCAAGTGGGAAAGCTGAATGTCAATGTTGGCAAATTGGTGACTTAAAGGGAAATAGGTACACGGGTGGGCTGTAGCAATATAGTCGACTGCTAGTTCCATCTGGCTTCGCTTCGGTTCAAATGAGCAACTTCCAGCTGAAAATCCAATCGAATACTTGATTCTCTGTCTGCGCATGCATGAACGTATAATACGTATCCCACTACAATTAAAACCATGTTCTCGCGCCATTATCGGCTTGGTATTGAACAGAACTGGCATGCAAATTGTGCGATTTCGTTATAAAAACTTATTTTTGGCGATCCGTACAGGAAATTTACATCGTCATTAGGTATATTTCGTAATATCGTATTTCGTTACAACGTTTAATCATTTTTACAGGGAGATGCTGAGACCAATCAAATGTTCATAAATTTTTCGTTAAATGGTGTTTTTCGCTAAAGCGTACTTCGTTACAACGAGAGCCAACTGTACTTCTCTGAGCCATCGTCATTCTATTCCGATATACTTCGAAAGCATAGGTGAAACAGGAAACCATAAATATTTGGAGCAAACGTTATTTATAAGTCTACGCTGTTACCATAAAAACCTCAGAAATCTTGTAATCTAGATTATATATATGGTTCAGGATTGCATCCTTATGCATTTTACAGTTGTTGAATTTCAACATGGAACTCAAGCCTAGAAGATGCCCCAAGTACTGAAATTGCCACTTTAGCAAAAAAAAATGTGACACAACTTCAATAGTTTTCGATATCACATTTTCCTCCAAAAGCCTAGCATTCAGTGATTCAAAAATACCATATAAAATATGGTATTTGGGTCTCAAATCCTTTGAATAATTTAGTCTGTTTGCTTCAATCTCAAAGCGGTTCAAATGCAATCAAAATTGAATCTCACTCTCATCACATCAACTCCAAATCATCCATCAGCATTGTCTGACTTTGCATCAGTGGTCAGTCAGCAATGCTACTGTTTTGTGCTTTGACTAAATCAGTGACTAGTTTCTTGAGTCCTAATTAAATATTCAAGATGAATGACACGATGAATTGCACATCCTTGTAATGGGAAAATTCAATTTCAATATGACCAAACCTTGATTCAGTAATTTCCCTTACTGCTTTGCAGTACTTCTTTAGAAATGTTTACATTGTAGAAGAGCTTTTTTTCCAGAAAAATACAAAATGCCAGAGAAATTATGGAAAGGTTCATGTTGTTAGAGGTGCCTCTCTACAGATAATAGAGTATTCTCCTACAGTGTGAACATTCGGGCAAAAAACTTACTTTAAAGTTTTTAGCCCATTCTTGGGGTACATTGATAACCTCAAACTTCTCCAGAGGATGTGGGCTGCACAACCTCCTCACACAGAATTTATCTTTAGGACTTCCAATCAACTCAAATTCACTATTGTTGTTCATAATGTCATCCCTGACAGTTAACTATGACAGTTAGCTAGGCTAGAACTTGGAGGATATGTATATATACAGTAGAATTAATCACAGAGGTCTACACCAGCATCAATTATTATGGCAATCATCTCAGTTTGAGCAAAAACTAGTTAAGCCAGTCATATGATTCCTTCTGCTCAGTCAAGACCCAGAGAGTAGAGCAAAATGTGTTGTACAGAAAGAAGCATGCACACAACAAAAGTTAAGTCCTGAGTGTAGAAGCACACCTTTGCTTTTTTTTTTTTAGTACCACTTAGACTTTCTATTCCATTTAAAATGCTAGTCAAAATTTTATTTTGCTTCTACCATGATACAAGAAAAACTGCAACATGTGAAATGGACTTCCTTGTAATTGGAGCTCATTGTACAAAACAAATGGATTATACTGAGCTCCCATAATGAAGTGAATATTTCTGGATCCTATAGCATGAAGTGCCTTCAATAAATTGGTGGGAGGGAACTCACATTAGTGGAGAGTTGAGAAGTGAGTGTATGAACTTTCTGCTGGGCATCCACGAGTTCCTTGCGCAATTTGCGAATTTCTGCAGCTTGTCGCTCTTCCTGGGAGCTATACAAGGATGATCCCCCAGACAGGAGACTCAAGTGGGATCCATGTACTGCAAATACAACATGAAAACTCTTCCTCATTACAAACTGAAACATGTGAAGATTAGAGGCACTCTGCACAGCAGAGACACAGCTTCCATCTGGCACAATATTCATTGTTGTTAAAGAGAGTATGGCATGGAAATGCAAGGTTTCTTCCTATTTAAATCACTGAAAAAATTCTCAAGATCAGGGAGAGTCATCGACAATGAAAGAAATGGGTCCTACTATAGTATTAAAAAAAAAAGGTTTTAAAAATAGAGGAAATTAGAAATTAAAATAATGAGACATACCTTCTTCCTCCTGTGGTAGTGAGGAAGTTCTTGACAAAACAGCATATGGAGACTGAGCACCAACAGACATGATAGGACTCAGAATGAACCCAGATCTAGAAAGAGAATGAGCACAGTTAATGGACCATGAAAACATACCTTGAATAATGAGGAGTTGTGAGTAATAGGCAAACAGCATAAGTTCTTTCATGGTTTCATCCATGCACTTCTTGCAAGGAAAATGAAATTGATTAGAGAAAGGCCTAATCTATAAAGAATTCCTAGTAGTTTTATCAAATTCATATAGTTGTATAGAGAGCAGGTACTGACTTGTTGGAAGGAGTAGGTGAAGCAGGTTGAGAGGCATGATGAGATCCAATGGAAGAGAAAGAGTATCGACCTCCGTTGGCTCGAGCCAACAGTTCCTCACCTCCCACTATTGGATATTGCTTCTCTGACTTACTGGACCTGGATAATACCATTTCCATATCAAGAAATAGTTTCATTAAAAGTGCTCATGAAAAACAGAGTCAGAGTGGTGCATCAAAGCATCCAAGCATTTAGCATGTGATCAAACAACAGCAACACAGGGACTACTGGTTTTAGAAGTGCAACTGAAGTATGAAGCAAAAATAAGTAAACTTGGCATCTACCATCTACTATCAGCATTGCTGCTCACAACAATGAAAAACTCTGAAGCTCAATAAGAAAAACTCAATCAGCAACACTACATATACAGATGCATGATCTTAGGAGCAGGCCGACAGATTGTACCTCGGGAAAGTCCTCACAATGCTGCAAAAATTCAAAATCAAAAAAAGGTTTCTGAACTTCATTTCATACAACTTTTGAAACTCTTGAGAAGACAGCATTTGGCAATCTACAGCCAAACCTGGAAATACTTTCTCACTATGGTACAAGTCATGATGCAAGCTCAATTAGCCAAAATGAATGATACTGGCACGACCCCTAATATGAGCTATGTTCTACATCTAATGATGACTATACATGTATCATGGAATCATCTGAATTCAAAATAAGAAAATAAATAGAGATTTGCTATGCACGCACCTGGCAGAGGAGGAGCGATTGAGACGTGGTGAGACATTTCCAGGAGCAGGGGAATCTTGCTGATTCTGGTGCAAGAGAAGCCGAGCTTGTGTGAGACCTGAGCGCCCAGCTTGACTCTGCATCTGAATTCCTCCCACCTGGTATGAAGCTGCTGAACTCAGGGACTCCATTGACTCTCCCTCTGTCAGGCTTCCTGCTTGAACAAGGGAAAGGCAGAATGATATTTCCCAAGTAATCATCAGAGCAATTATATTTCCAAACGTTTTGTAGCATATGGTCACTCTTTTAAGTATCATACTTGGAATTACGAGAATCACTGTCCTATTGTCAGATCTATTGAGAGCAATAAATTGAATTGCAAACACAAATCCAAGAATAGCAAATCCAGTGGAGTATATCTTCCCAATGGAGTACCATGACTACTCAATACAGTAACCAGTAGTTAAGGGTTCTGAGTAGTCCTGGTGATGAACAATGGATATGGTTGAAAGAGAGGCAATCATCTTACCTCCAATTTTCCTCAGTTGGGAGCTGGCCATGGAGCCAGGATAGCCACCGCTGAAGCGTCCCCAGGAATATGGACTTCCTGTGGCTGACCTCAGGTCTCGAAGTTCAGCATAGTTCATATAAGTGGAATCACTCAGGGATCCATCAGTGGGCCTGGCCATCCTTGGACTCCGCTGAGATCCCGATACATAAAGATACTCCCCCGTATGACTCAGGGTCTTGCTGTTCCAATTAGAAGACTGGAGGATGCGTTCCCGCACGTTCTGTGACAACTGCGCAGCCACACTGGGACTCATGGAGAACGTCCTGGGCTTCCAGTTCTCAGTGGACGATGGAAGTTCCACGGTTTGATGAATCTGGGTCTGGGTGCTTCCGGACACTTTGAGTTTCATTCGAGGTTTCTCCTCGGGTGTGCGAGGAATTCCCGTCACAGCGGCAGTCTTGGGACGCGTAGACGAGGACTCGGCTTCTCCTGCGCTGGCTGGACGCGGTTGATGAAAGCCCAGGCTTGATCCCTTGGCATGCAGAATCTGAGGATGAGGGATCCTCTTCACATCCCCCACTCCCACCTTCACCGTCTGGGATCCCTGAGATGTCTTCATCACGGTCTTCTCGCCTTTCCCTGAAAGTACATCAACCAATAAGCCAAAAGCAGCTCATGAGAGCACACTATCCCAATTTCCATCTCTTTATAGGGTCACTTAAAAGTGCCATCCATCAGGTACTTACCAGATTTCTTCTTTGCTTCCATGGAAGGATAATCCTGGCTAGGATCTCCTCTCTCTGCTCCGAGGCTGACTTTCTTCCACTGGCTGCCTTGCTTACTGAAATGAGATCATTATACAGGTAAGACGTTGGGCAATTGAACATATATTTTGCCATTGCGCTACCGGAATTTTCAGGTACACGTTCTCTCAAATTTGCATTACGTAAGGCCAGAGTTTGTTGTGGATGCATTGGTGCATATTAAGCATCGTTAAAACAACATTTGTGCCTCGTAAATTTAAGTCAACTTTCCCTAAGTACTACTCGTTAAGGATGATTTCGTTATGATGATGTTATTTAATATCACATGATATCGTTGTTACCATGACATGGAATAACTTGCCTGAAGGCAGAAGTGTCAGTTTGTTGGGAGCTGTCAGTCTTTTTGGAGTGAGCTCTGGGGGAGACGACCTTGTACTGGACCCCATCCCCATCATTCCCTCCCTCTCTCGATGACCTCTGTCATTTTTATCCGGGAACAAAAAAAAATTCAATTCCACACTCCTCTATCTTCCTACTCAGATGGGAAAGAGGCGAGAAAATACCTTGAAGCTAAGGTAAGGATTGGGCTCGGAAGCAACTGATGACGAAGTAAGATTGTCATCAGTGGACGTATAAGCGAGGGCATCGGATACTCCGCTGGATAACGAACTCGTTTCATCTAAGCTGCAAGTACACAAAATAATCACACATTTACTAGTCGGTCACCATTCTGTTCCAAAGTCGAAGAGGGTAAAAAAAAAAATTTCAGTTAGAATAAATGGGGCATCCTAAAGAACAAAGCAAAGCACTCACCTGCCATGCTTTCGGCGATGCCTTTTCTGCAAGTAATAGCCGCTGAATTTCTGGTATTTATACATAGTTTTCCTTTCCTGACTACGACATAGACTGCTACTAAACTGAACCTACGACAATCATCTGGGAAGGACGGAAAAGGGTCATTCATGCAAGTGAAAACAGTCACGAATCAGAATAGCTGGCCTTTCCCCTCCCCTCACTGATTTCCATCTCTGATCGGGTGATAAGGGCAACAAAGACGAAACGCAGGTCCTGTGTCGCAAGCTTGGAATGGAACGCAAGAGGACTGAGGCAAAAACGGAATCTGCATGAGGTAGCATAACGAGGCTCACTTAGGGGCGAGGTTCACGCGATCCCTCGATAACTGACACCAGTTCTCTCAGATGGAGAGGGGATCCATCAGGAAAATCGATCACCCATCATGATCCACTCATTGAGAATCGTGAAGCCCAAGGCTACACCAGACCCATACTACTAATGGCTGAATTCTTTCTTTAGGATTGAGCTGGGCGTGGTATACTCGCCCGCGGAGGAAGAACGGACCAATAAGAGGGGATAGATGGGTCATTGTTTAACTACAAACAACATAGGTTCCATGAGACGCACCTGCCCTGTCCCTTGTCCCCCCCTCTTCCCCTCACGGGCTCTCTATCGGACTTCCCGTCTCTTCCTTTCACGTGGACACAGATACTATCCAGCGTCTCCTCTCCGTTTCTCTCGTTTAAAACACGATGGCGTGATGGGGAGTGGAAATGCTACACTGTACGACAGATGATAGCCGATGAGGGAACGTAAGTATACACTGTCTCTGGCACAATATCATTAATATTTCATGTTGTTCTGCAGTAAATAGGGTTTCCACACAGTCACCCGGAAAGGTAGGTGCAGCATTATTGACAGTGGGATGGGCCACACGACAGCCGCTGGGGACCACGTGTCCCTATTCCGAACACAAAAGAAAGGGTGAAGGACGAAATGCTGACGAAAGACCACGTGTGATAGGAAGCACAGATAACGGAAGACCTATCCACTGCACTGGTGGAAGACGGACGTTCTACCACCAGCGCACTGGTGTAGAACACCCCAACAGAGCGAGTCCCCGGTTGGATGTGGAGAAGGACTGGGCGGAGGGATTCCCTGCCCTCTCGTTCCTCCCCCCGAACCGATCGAAGGGAAAAGCGATGCAGCCCGTTATGAAGACCGAGGAAGAGACCGTGCGGGCGCGTGCCAGCCAGCTAGCAGCCAGACCATTGCCCATGCTCCTCTGACCTCGCGTCCTGGGAAATCATCCACGGAAACACCTCTCCCTCTCTCTTTCCACGCCCATCTTTCGCCCTCGTCCGACAAAATGCAGGAGGGGAAAGAAGGGGGAGGAGGCACGCCCTCCATGAACCGCGACGTCGAGCTGAATCAGAATGAAGATAAGGGAGGGCGACTGTTTATGAATTCCCTCTTTCCTCCATCGAATGACACAAACACATGGTAACAGAAGTCCCAAGCCAGCTACGAAAGGAACATAACCCCGGAGTATCGATTGAATGTGAGCACTTCCGGACGGGATGGAATGAGACAATCTCACACGAGGGGAAAAGGGAGAGGGAGAGGGGGTGAAATGGAGGGGGGTAGGATCATCGATCGACGAACGCGGGAGGGAAAACTTGCTGCACTGGGCACTGTCTCTATGCAAGGCATGGGGGTTTCCCCTTACACTTGCACGTACTTGCACCCTAGCACTGGAAGCGGGTGTACGGAGAGCCTCAATAATTGAGACCAGTTGAATTGCCCAGCTTGGGGCTCACAGGGAGGATGGGTGTGTGTCATAGCTTACACAACCCTCATTCTCCTTTCTGGTGTCACCTGTTAAGGCCATTCCAGGTACTCCAAAATGAGGATGAGTGGGAGGGGGGGGGGGGGAAAAAACCGGAAAAGCGTGAGAGAGATTGAGCGCATCCCCACGCAAGGAAAGACTAGTCGTCCACACCCGACCGTAATGAAGGGATTCTCCAGACGATTCTTCATCTCATCTTACACAACTCCGTCCCCTCAGGGACTTTCTCTGAATTTCTCTCAGTCCCCGGCGTGGCCTATTGAAAATTCCCATCAGGGAATGGATATTGATGATGGGCGGTGAGGTATAGAAAGCTCTTAATTTTCCCTCGAGGCTTTTCTATATTTCTTTTCCTTCCGTAGAACAGGAAAGAAAAAGAGGGAGGATTATTTCATTTCTCCTCTCAGAGGAATGGAAACGAGGCATGCGATGGCGATAATCATATCTTCCACATGGGGAGAGGACCTAGATAAATTATTCTGAGATGGCCTTAGGAACCTTGCAGACTCATCTGAGGAAAGAAGGCAATGTTGTGAGCCTCGTGTTGCTTTCCTCAAGATCTCAAAATGAAAAGTGCAGTTCTTAATTGACGTAAAGGGAAGTGAAAGTGAAGTAATAGTGCCTTATCCTTTTGAGTCATCAGGCAAGGTCATGTTTATGCATAAAAAGATCCCCTGAGGCAAGAAAGGATCTTGCATGATCTGCCCACGCACCAGTCCCGGGAACAAACTCCTACCACATGACAGGCCCTGAGCTCTGTGTATACATGCTCATCGTTTATGAGGGCGTGATGAAAAATGCATAACCCAATGCTAAACACTCTCAGAGTAGAATGGTTGATCTCAGAACTGTGGAATCATATCGATGCATTTTAGGGCAGCTGAAGACAGAGGGATTATCTTTAATGCTATCAGATAAGGATAGAAGAGAGCAGCCGAAGAGATAGAGACATCAGAGGAATTGTTGCTTTTCTCTCATCTCTCATACAGAGAGTGAGAGGCAGGAGATCCTATCATTCCCAGGACTCCCATTCATCGTTCTCGATCACATCTTCATGTGACATTTTCTATAATGGAATCCCATGGACAAGAGAAGCACCTGCAACCTCACCCCCACACCAATGCAGGTGCCAACAATGCCAAATACAACCAAAGGCTATAATTATTATCAGGGTTTTTTTTCTGTGGCGGTTTTGCAATCAAAAGAATTCATTTTGAAATTTCATGCTGGTGACATGAAAGATTAAATGGGTTTCCCAAAATTCACACGATCTTACATATAGCAAGTAGATGGTGATCTACAATTTCTTATATCCTGCCATTCATGATGAAATGAGGTGGTTTCATAGAAAGTTGTAAGAAAGAATGTGAATGGAATCACAAAGAGTCACACCAGCAAATCACAAAATGGTTCCCTTTTGAGCTTTGGAAGCACATGACATGAATACAAGATGTTTGAAAGTGAAACAGAAAATTGGAAAAAAGTCTCACAAAGCAGTCCAAGTGACACGATTTGTGATAAAAAATGAAATCACCCTGGAATCCCCAATGCACTATACTGATACCTCTAAATATTTACACAAATGTTGGAGCAGTCATGGAATCATATCTGGATTGCATGCAATCAAAATACTGAAGCTGAGCTTGCTTCTGTTATATTGGAATGTGTGTGTATGCATTACAGATTTCCTCTAAACTTAGATGAGCATAGAATAAGAATTAATCAATACACTTAAGAGAGCACATTAAGGGAGTAGAAAGAGAATTATTAGGCATAATGAAATGTCAAATTAGAAGGGAAGGGTCCATAATCTCTCTGTGTTCCTCTATCTAATCTTGACAATCATCAGATTTGAGTCAAATTGTCATGCACAAAAACCAATAAAAGATATAGAAGGGAAAAGGAAGTCACTCTTCTCTAATAAAGACAGGAGTTGTTCTAGCACTGAAGGAGCAGTTTAAGAAAAGGATTGACGAGTCCCCCATCTGACTAGAAGATGGGTCCAGCCCCATACAAGACAACTTTAGGGGTATTCAGATTCAATGAAGTTGTCTCTGCTAGATACATCTAAGCAATCTCAGAAACAGGAAGGATTGCTGGATGAAGCCAGTAGCACAAAAACATAAGAAAACCTCACATAGACTGACCATTTTCTCCAAAAATCTTTAAACTTGGCTGAACATGCATTGATCTCATGAGTCATTTCAATTTTCCTTCATTAACTTACTTTTAAAAACCCCTATTGTTGGCAGGAACTGGAGTTGGGGAATGGGAAGTGGAAGTATGCAGTGAATCCTATCCATCAAATTCCAAATCCAATTACATAATTATATGATAATGCTTTTTATTAGGGCTGTACCAGTGGCCACATTTGGCCCGTGGGCCGATTTTTTCTCATAACCATCGGCCGGTACCGGTGCCGGTGCCAATTGTGGCCTGTAGAAGAAATCGCCTATAAATTCAAATAGGCCTTATTGGAAACCATGTGATCCTTATCAGCAGGCCTCTTTGAAACGATAGTGACCACTTTTGGTCCTGTCCAGCCTGTCTGTCTCTCTATAAGGCTGCCAGTGGTTAGCTTGCTACCCATCGCTGCAGTTGAATGCACTTAGCGACACATCCCTTGCAAAAGCGTAAAACGTAAACGGAGATGCAATGCTTTCCCGTTCTTTACCGCTACTTTCCTCCGCCGGTTCCTATAATACGGCTGTAACAAAATCCGATCGATATTTTTGTCTGGGAGAGAGTGGCTTTCAGTGAGACAGGAGGGCCGACGCCTAGCCGCGTTCACACCCTCACGAAATTTTTTTTTTGCATTGCCCGTTCTTTGGGCACAGGCACCGGCACTGTTCCCATAGGCCGATGGTGCCGATAGTGCAACACCGGCGGGCGATACCAGTGTTAGCCGATACATCGGTACAGCCCTACTTTTTTTTTTTAAATAAATAGTATTTATATGATTAAGCATGCTCAGATCTTAGAAAGCACCAAGACTTCATGAAATTAAATTAAATGCGTAAAAATAGAAGTGCAAAATTGTACAACTATAATAATTTGTGAAAAATAAAACCTAAGAGAAACTCAGGAGAATAAACTAATTTCATCATGAAATGTCAATTCAAGGAGGCATAATGTAGGATTAGTATCACCTATAGCTACTAAAGGAAATCAGTCATCATTCATAAGTGCTGGTCATGAACTTAATTTTCAAGCCTTGGAACAGTGGATTTATGTCCACTTAGTAATCCCAGGAAATAAAATACTATGCTTGATTTCATTATCAAAGTCCACAAATCTGTCACACCATACAATACTTATATGAGGTCACCCCAACAGTGCTCTCTCCAACTTAAAAAAAAGAGCCTGGTAATGAAGGACTGCCTTCCACTCCCTCAACACTACTTGCTACTTTTCTTTTCCTTGTTAGCATTACATCTTAAAAGCAAAACAAATCAAGCACTAGAATTCTCTCATCATTGTCATAATGTAACACAATTCACAGATATGTATTAAGCAACAATCCATTCTTCTCTTGAGAAGGTATTTCCAAGTCTCATGAAGATATACAGGAGCAAAACCTTATGCCAAGACATAGGTCTATCTTGTTTTTGCTATCCTACAAGTGATACTCTTGCGATTCCACAGTGCTGGAGAGGACATTACATGAAAACTCAAAGTAGAAATCACAAGCCATCAAGCTTCTCTGACAAATTAAATCAGCTCAACATGGCCACTTCAAAGATCATAACATTTTTGGCACTTCTGGACTTACCTGCACTGCAGCAGCAGTTGAATACAATGTTAGGTCACCAGATCCATGGATTTATTTGTGTGGGGACATGTCAAGCAACTTGTTTATGTGAAAGGGCATGCTCCAAGCTTAGCAGTATTTGGAAGGGGGATTGAAGTAGTTTTTGCTGTGATTACAAAATAAATTTGCCAAAGGGCTTTGTTAACCCTTTCGTGCATGGTGTCCACTGTAGTGGACAGCAAAATTTTTGCTGACAATTACGAGTTTTTAGCCATGGTACTCACACCTCAAAACCTTTGGTGTGTGCAGTTAACTCAAGGGCACATAATCTGTTCAGTGATGCTTTCTAGCAGTAGAACATTCGACTACTACAGCAGAGTACCTCCTTAAACATTAAACCATAAATGGCATATTTTTGTTTTGCTTTAAAAATTCATGCACGAAAGGGTTAAATATAGTCTAGATGTGGCAAATATGGTATGATCTTTGGGGTTAAGCTGAGATAACTTGTCAGAGTAGTACAATGGTTTTTCATGAAAAAACTTTAGCATTTCAAGCAAAATTGACAGTATGCAGAACTGTACTATCATCAGTTTGAGAATAAATGACTGGAAATCCACAAAAGACTTCTGTGTCAAACTGTATAGGCATGTGAATTTCAGGAAGTTCTCTGAGTGAAGTAATGAACACCCTTAGGCAGAATGATGATAGATTGAGTATTTTCCTTCAGAGGGGAGACTCACCGTTGGAGTTTCCTTAGACCATTGGAGAGGGGGATGAGGGGAGCATGAGGAGGAAGAGGAGGAGGAATTACAGCCTTCTCCTTCTCCATGCTACATTCCAGCAACACAGAAATAAAGAAGCAAAAAAAGCAACTTAGGTGTGATTTTCTAAACCATCTCTGTAAAAATAAAAATGAACTTAATTAACAAGCCATCCATCTTTGCAGAAGAATCTGAAGCTCTGAACAAGCAGCAAATGAAGTGAAAAGTGTAACAGAACCAAATAGATCAAGATCCTCTCATTTATATGCATTGTGCAGAGAATGGAAGCATAACTGAAACAAAATGAAGCTACAAGCACTCAAAACATTCCATCCTCATTCACAAGAACAGCTAAGCAGTGACCCTATTAGAGTCATTCCTTATGAATGTAATAGGACTATTCAAGTATCACTATACCTGTACCTGTCACTGTGGGGCCCATGTTTCTTTTCCCTAATGAAGCTGTCAAGTCCAAAACAATACATCAATGCTGCTATTTAACTTTGTTTGGGAGCATTCATGAAGCTCATTGTGTCTATGTCACAGTCAAGACCTGTCCATAATGCATTATTGGTCATCATTATCATCACCTTATTCATCAAATTCACACAATCACATTCTGAATCTCAACTATCCTAATTCATTTCTTCACCTAGTACTCTTTGTTCAAACATGAATCAAGAAGCATATAATCATGGTGTTACTGAAGAAGTGGAGGGGCAAGGAAAGGCCCCACCCTGGTATTATTTATCAACATCCCTCTTCAACTGCTGAGATATATGCAAATTTAAAATTTGTGGGATAAAAAAGTCTGCTTTGGTGTACAGTTCACCAAAATTCAAACTGGTTGGGAATAACTGGACAACTAACCATCAAACAAAGGGTGTGGTGCTCATGGATACACTGCCACTTTAGAAATGAAGGAAGGAAGGGAGGTGGAAGAGTGTCACATTATCGATTGTCTTACCTGTCATCAGTTGAAGGGAGAGGAAGTGATCGTCCTCCTCTCCCCTGGGCAAGAACAGGAGGCTTGCGGCCATAAAGACCTGCACCGCCCTCTGACATGTATCCATCCAAGTGGTCCTCAAATGATACATCATGACCTATCCCTGCTCCACACAACAGGTCTCCATCTGACATGTAACCTAAGCAAGCCAAACCATTTATCAGCATTGCCTCAATGATGTGTTATGCCTTAATATACAAGATTTTCTAAAGAGTATCAATGCTTGGAAAAGTGCTGCATCAGACAGGGTGATTAATACATCCATAAGGTACAATCTCATATTTTCTATAACATTACTTAGTAAATATTCACTTTGCAACAATTTCAACATTCTTTAATCCATTTTTGCATTTTAAATTTGTTACAAATTCAGCAAAAAAAATGACAAAATGTTAGCATGAATTCCTCATCATAGGAAAATTTTAAAATGAAAATGAAGAACTTATTCACAGGAAAAACAGTGAGGTACACAGTCACAGAAAAATCATTGTATGGGGTGATGCAAAACCTTTTGCTAGGGGGTCCCAGAAAACCGAATGCAGCACAAATGAAGTCACTGCATCAAACTGAAAGTAATTCATTTCCCGATCCAATGACCTTAATAGTTTGTGTGCCCACCATTCACTTGACATATGGCCTGCAAATGCAATGGGTATGATCAGAGCAGGTTTTTGAAGTCTCTTCAAAAGCCTTATTTCAAAGAGACCTTGAGTACGAGACAGATCTCTTCGAAAACCTGCTCTGATCACACCCATCGTGTTTGCAGGCCATGTCAGGTGAATGGCAGGCACATGAACTATTAATATGTTATTGAATCCAGAAATGAATTACTTTCAATTTGATGCAGTTATTTTATTATTAGTGCTGCTTTCAGTTTTTTTCTGGGGCCCCCAAGCAAAAGGTTTTGCACCACCCTGTATATATCTAAGCAAAATACAGTTTAATATTTTCTTCAGACATAGGCTTTTAATATACAATTCTCACTTTCTCTAGAAATTCAATTTCTGAAAAAGAGGAGAAAAAGACAGTATGGTGGAAAGAAAATGCAGAGGCCTACCTGATGCAGTGTCAGGAGATTGCTGGAAGGATCGAAGGGCACCAGCTGCTCCAGGACTAGATACATGAGAAGCTGCATATACTTGTTGACTCCCACCTAGACATGCAATAAAGAAACTTAGTCACAAACACATCTCCAATTCAGGGATAAGCGCATATTCAATACCTGCAATAAAAAAGTGTTTTCTTATTACTGTTCAGTTCTTTCAACACTTGTTTAATCACAGGTGCACTAAAGAAATACACAATCCTGAGTGGAGAAGTGAGTACAGGCCTTGTATTTGTTCAGCTTAGGTCAGTCCAATGCTTGACAGGCAGATTTTCTGCATACATAGTTTTGTACTAGTTACTCTAAAAGGTGCACTCTTGGGGCAAGATAAGATAAGAGCAATCAGGTACCCATACTATAAAGAATAGTTCAGTAAATGTGCAGCTTGGTATACTGAAAATTGAAATAAATTTGCATGTTTGATTCCTTCAGTGAATGTAAATGAAAACTAGAAATTTGTCATGAATAACTGAAAAAAAAAAACATTTATGTTATGCTGATTCTTGCAGGACATTGCTGTCAGTGTGTAAGGGCCTGTTCAAAAATGAAATATTACTCAGCATCACAAGGTCAAAATTGCAATGAATGACCAAAGATTAATGTTTGTTCCCAGGAATTTAAATTTGCTATGGCTTATATCTGTTATATGATGGGTATGGGACTTAAGATGTTAAAATAATTTTTTTTTTTCATTTGGTCTATACAGGGAATGGCAGTTGCATAGGTTCCTGCAAGATTTTTTAGTCTTGCATGCTTTGAGATTGATCCAGGCAATATTGGTATTGAACTAGATTCACCCATATGACCATGTAAAGGCAAAAAAACCAAAGAGGTCACATCCTTGTCGGAGATGATTTTGCATAGAGCAGGGCTACTCAACATGTGGTTCACAACAGGTCCATGGGTTGCTGGTCAGTAGTCTAATGAGTTATCCATAAAAATAAAATATAATCATGGCTCCCAATCATCCCTGCCTGTCATGTCCTCAAGATCCAACTTCTGCCAATCAATCAAAATCCCCCAACTAATCATTTCCCTGATGGAGCAAATCCATGACCCTCCTACTTATGAAGAAATATATGTCCCCACTGACCCTCTTGCAGACTTTTATTAAACAGCAGTCTTCCAATACAGAAGACTATGTGTGTCACAAGAACCTCCACCTCTCAGGCTCACATAAATGTTGAACCCTGTGAAAACATTAACCCTTTGGCCATTATCCCGAGTACATACTCGGGCTTATGCAGTGGTAGCATGGGTATGTTCTTGGACTCAGAACACTCACTGTTTCTAGGTCACTTCACAGCTATTTATGCATGTAACTGCTGTCTTCAATAGTGATCATGATATGATATTATCTTACATAAACTATTGTTTTTAAATAAGCAGGGCCAGTTTTTATACAAAAACATACCAGCCATCCCCCTGTGTTATAACAGTCAAAGGGTTAAGAAGTTTAACACAGCTTCCCCCTCTCCCCTCCCTCCCCCCAGGAATCAAGAGGCTCAGGCTCCCCTTTTTCAAGATGCATAGAGGTGAATTACAACTGCATAAGACAAACAAAGTACTAATTAACAAAATAATATCCTAAATTAGTCAAATAGAAAGCAGCATACAAGTGTTGCAGCTGAAACTTATTTACCATTGAAAAGGGATTTGAATTCTGGAATGACCATCAAAATTTCATTAAGATCCTATGAAAATTCACCCCTGGCAGTTATTTGAAAACAATACTATAATTACACATTCTACCTGAACACAAGCACTTAGCTGTACAGTAGAACGCCGATTATCCGAACGCCGATTATCCAAAACGCCAATTATCCGAACTGCCCCAGTCTTTTTTATTACTGTATATTGTATTCTATGCACTAACTTCTTTAACGCAACCTTTCCATGGGAGTGTTCGGTTATCCGAAAAAAATAGGTTATCCGAACCACCCCCGGTCCCAATTAGTTCGGATAATCGGCGTTCTACTGTAACTGCAATTCCCCTATGTTTATGTTGATAAACCTCTGGGACACACCCTTTCAGAATTTCTCAAAGAGCTCACACATTATTGTTGAGAGTTCACTTCACAAGGCACATCAAATTGAAGAAATAACTCTTACTGATTCATGTTGGCATGTGACACAGGGACAAAAAACAATCAGACACAATCCATCCATTGCAGCAGACATATCATCACTCCCCTCCAGCACAAGTGAATGCAAACTATCTAATTTGCTACGAGCAAATTGGGTACCAGTAATACATTACTTCACAAACACTGTATTTCTGCAGGCAGTGAAGTCTCTTTACAGCACCCCCTTTGTTCTTTTTCTCAGCTCCCCACTTATTTTTCATTTAGCACTCCAACACTATCATCTGACATGACCCACATACAATACACTACTTAAATGGGTTCAACTAATCATTGGCTCCCAATGATTCATATTTGGAAAATGAACCATCCTTCTGAACTTACTCCTCCTTGTTTGCCAACAGTAAAAAAAAAAAAACTCAAGTAGGAGTACAAGCTTGTTATTGTACAGATAACTCGAAAATGGTTTCAGTTATATTTTCAATGATATGGGCTTTTGGCCTGATATCTTCTACATGCTTATATATATCTACACCTAAAAATTTGGGTACTGTGATTGCATATCATAGACACTCCATACCAACAAGCAGCATACCATTTTTAAGAGGTGAGATGAGACCAAGTCCACGGAGATAGCCATATTGAGAAGCTCTCAAGAGAGGTTGCATGGGTTGGATATTGTTCAATGCTTCTTCCTCTTCATCTGCTCCTTCCTTCTCTCCTGTCACCACCTTCTGAAAAAAAAATTCAGTGCATACAATTGCATCACTTGTACCTGAGCAAATATAATTGCCAATTGGAAGCATCATGTAGCAATCAATGCATGGTAGTTATTAAAATAATTCTGATGCTTTTTTAAAAAAAAACGTTCAAAACCTATGATCAACAAGAACAGCATTGAAGAAACTTTGGTGGGTGCTATAAGCATGAACACAAGGACAAGCATATGAAAACCATCAGGCCTCTCATCTTTCTCATACAGTCTATTTGATTTCTTTATAGGAGAGGAAAATGAAAATTAATGTCAATGAAAACCTTTCTTTGTCTTCATCAGTGACATGAAGGAACAGAGAGATTCTGCATATTAGCAAATGAGACCTGATTGATGTAACAATTAAGAAATCAAGAAGGGAACATAAAATCCAAGAGAAATGTGGTACTTCCATGTCTTTTCCATAGTTTTTCATCCTAGAAGTCCAAGATACATGCAATTATCAGGGTCAATAACTACTGCTATACCAAACTAATGGCTCTCAACAAACCTTTTCACCAGGTACATCCTCTGGCTGAGAGACAGGTAGCAGATCTTCATGAGAAACCAAAGATGATGAAGGAGGTTTCTGAGATGATGCAGCTGATGATGGCCTCATAGGGGTAACCAAGGCAACATTGGAAGAAGCAGTCTCAGGTTCCTTGGGTCGAGCAAGCTGCCTGGGCAAGGAACTAACTCCTTTATCCTTGTCATGCCCTTGCTTCACCTCATTTGCCTGGGTCACATTTGGCTCTGAATTTGTTGGTGACAACCGAATGCTCTTGGCCCCTCCAACATGGGTCACCACCTGCTAAATTCATCAATAAAACAAGTTCTAGAATCACAGTTGGAATCAAAATCTCATTCCTCAAAGGATAATGACAAAGAACCACTAGAAATAAAACACCAGGGATGCTTATCCTTAAGCTGACAGCAGAGATGGATAAAGTTCTGTAACCTGGTAACCAGGTTACCGGGAAGGGTAACAACCAATTGGGAAGGCAAGGAAGGGAGAAGCAATGGCAGTGACCAAGAAACTGGGAAGGTAAACCATGGTTACTAGGAAGCAAAAGAACTTTTCCACCTCTGGCAGATGGAATAGTGGAAATGTGAATCTCAACCACTGCTACAGACTCAAAGGCATCATAAGAGCAGGGTCAGAACAGGCTTTATTAGTTAAAATACTTCTATATTTGAGGTCCTGAACAAGACTATAACTTCCCCTCTCAATTGCCTTATGGTAAAGGTATCCACTTCACAACATTGGAACCATACCTCAGAAACACCTGTATGAACTCTAAATTCAATCATCCATTCAAACAATATATGAACCATTCTTGGCCTGTTTGTGGCAAAGCATGGACCTATAATCTAGAAGCATAAAATTTCAACTCATGCTATAATAATATGCAAGACATATGTTTCATACAATTATCCATACATGTCCTGAATGTGAATGTACAAGCAGTCAGAATGATGCAAGCAGTTCCACCAATTAACCTGATATTTGAAGTAAAATTTAAAAAGTAAAGTTGAAGGCTAATTGATCTTGCCCAAGAGTATGGTCATTTTGAATGAAAACAACAACTGTGCCCTGAAAGTGATCTAAAGTATTTTGGTGTAAATCTGTTCTACTGGTACTCCTGAAAAAGGAGTGAAAATATAATGCCTCACAGGTAAATGGAATGCAACAAAAAAAACAATGAAAAAAATCCATTTAAAGTGTCAAGAAGCATGAGGAGCAGAAAGTGAAGGAAACAAACCTTGTTGAAGTGTTTACTTGTTGCAGAAGTGTTAAGGTTGGCCTTGATGACCTTGTCTTCAATGATCTTAGATGTACCCTTGACAGCAGCAGTGGGTTTTGGGATCATGCCTTGACCCAAGACAGGAAGTCGAGATGCTCCCAAGTCATCAGCTCTCTTTGCCTTCTTAGGTTCTGGAGGAGGTGGCTTCCTTGCTTCAGGGATGTCTTGGTCTTGTCGCTGGGAGTCAGGGATGCGGGAACGATGGGCATGTGAACTCTTAGGTGACCCTTTGGCTTCATCCTTGCGTCTCATCTTTGGAGATCCCATCTTTGGTGATCCACCCTTCAGCTTGGAGCTGAGAGTTCGCAGGGCTGTCCTTCCATGCTCTGGGACAGGAGGTGGAACCTCCTGCATTACCACTCCCATCTGACTTGAGTTCCCTAGTGTCAATCCACCATTCCTGCAGGATTCCAAATTGAATGAATGCATTCTGTTTGCTGAGCTTACTTCTTATGAAGCTTTTCTTTATTATAAAAGAAAATGGGGATCAGGAAGCCTCTTGCATAGAAGTGTTAGATGTTTGTAAATGTGTTTTCAACTACTTCATTCCCAAACAAAAATCTCTTTTTCAGAGCATTATTAGTTCTTAGCCGTCCAACCAGGTTCATTAGAGTCAAGACAAAAACTACCAGAACACTAGCCCCTCTGATTACAGTATTGACACAACCTCATGATACACAACCATCCACAAATTTAACTTCATTTGTAAGAAGCTGAAGAAATTTGACCATTTTCATTCAGTTTTTTGCAGACTTTCAAGAAACTGAGGCAATTTTTCAGACCCATTGATTTATAACCTCCTTTCCACTTTTCAACCTTATATGTCTTCTTAGTTTATGGGAACACAGCTTCAGCCACAAGATTTTCCCAAAAGTATTGGGAAACAGAGAAAAACAATACAGCTCAGTTCCTATCCTCATTATCTACCCCCATGCCCTATTCTGCAGAGACATACCTTTTTAAACAGTATCATTTTACTAGATGGAAGGTAAGGAAAGGGAGAGGGGAAAAGAGAGAGATGGGATGTCAGTGTAAGTGTGAGCTGGACCCACCCAGTGCTGGCTGAGGAATCACTCTGCTCAGACCTTGCAGAACTCACTCCACTGGAACTAGAAGTTCTTTTTGAACCCCTCATCCCTTGACCTACAAAAAGAAAAATAAATATTATACCTACCTCTTGGATCCAGTAGCATAGATACAGAAGACAATCATCACTTTTAGTAAAGATGGATATCTTGATACCATTAGAGTGCCTCAGAGCATATAACACAAACTAAATATGACAGTAAAAATTACATGGAAGTCATTGTAGCAAAAAATTAAGAAATCATGCCTAGAGGGAAGCTTTTTTTAAAATAAAAACTTCAGGCAAATTATGCATCACACACAGCTGAATGGCACCACATTGCTGTTCCATGTCACATGTCCACAATTCCTGAGAATATCTACTGATATGGGTATCATAAGTACACCTAGAAAAACAAACATACACTCTGATGGTCAAGGTCAAAAACTAACTTGGTCAACCTTGAACCTAAATAAATTTTGCATATTCATCTTAATATTTTAAGAAAAAATTAGAAGGTATTCTGATTTGAGGTACTCCAACTTTATCCAAGAATAATGAATGGAGTAAGAATTCTTGATGAGGACTCATCATCTTCAATAAGACCAGAGTGGCTGCTTTGTGCAATCTTTGATAGCTAAGAATTCATGAGAAAACATCCTTCTTCACTGTACTATTCGAACACCAGCATTAATACACATGAAAGGTCAAAGGTTTCATTATGTGCTGGCTATCTATCTCCCTTGAGAGCAAATTCAACTTGGCAATGGGGGGGAGGGTAGAATTAGACATGATCAAGATGGAGTTTCCTCTGAGAAGTATACAACTAAGAAACAATATATGGCCAAACTGTGAAAGCACTCATTCATATTGAAAGCTTCCTTTACATATGGGTAAGCTTAATTGCAACTTCCACATTTGACTTTATTCATGAAACTCATGAAAGGTGAAAAATAACTCTTTACACTATCATAATCTTCCATCAAGACCTGCCAAACTTCACAAAACTCACCTTTCCCCTTCTCTTGTCTCTCTTTGTTGAACACATTAAATCTGTCCAGCATGGAGCCCTTGGTGAGACGTGGAGAAACATTTGCAGAAGTTGAGACAGCAGCAGCATGAGTATCCCTGGCATATTGATTGTTGGAAGGGAGACGCAGTGAAGAACGACCCACACTTGACTGTCCCTGAAGAGTCCTGATATATGAAAAAACAACCAATTATGAACACAACTCCTTTCCTAGCAGACCTAATTTAAACCTGTGGTAAGTGGTACATCTGAGATTTTGCAGGATGGAGGATCAAGCCAAGGCCAGGAAAATGAGACAAAAATCTACAAATATTCCAACTTGGAAATATAATTGGCATCTTTAATATTGCATAGGACTCCTACATAAGACCTTTAAATTATTTGTATCTCAAATCGCACTCTACTACAAAGACTATACATATTCACTTGCCAGGGAAAAAAAGGTGGCAGAACTTGGGAAAGACAGAGTGTGAAAGGGTCCAAAGTGCTAAAAGGCAGATATAAAAATTGCCTTTCTTAAATTAAGCAAACTCAAATAGGGTTGGCTCAAGAGCTTGAACATGTTTGACTCCAGGTCTAGACATGAGGTCTTGAGGAATACCCAATTTATGAAGGGGTGAAAACGTTTGTTGCCGCCCTACTCCTTCCTACTTTAGGAAGATGGGGGTCACAGATATGTCCCTGCTTATGGGCAATGGGGGACGCGGAAATGGGGGGATAGAGGGAATATGTGAGCCCGTGTTGCCCTGGTCATGTCCTATAGAACTTCACAGGAATCCTCACCTGGACATCTAGGTTCCTGGTACGAAACTGCCCTGTAGACCTTATGATAGGCCTACGCCTTAACGTTTTCGCTCACAAGTCACCGTAGTAATAACATTTAAAAAAGAAACCACTAAAGAAATTGGCAGTGGAGTTTCACGTGAAGACTGACGCCCCTGCAGCTTTGTCCTAAAGACTTCGGTCATTGGTCAACACTGTGATGAGCTTTTGAGATGACAATTTTTCATTTGTTGGGGCGTTCCCTGTTTTGCCAGATCTTCTCATAGAACAGCTGAGGGTATGCGAGGAAACATTCACATTTGGTATAGGACAATAAAGTAACAGAAGAAGAAAAAATAACAGATGCGTTTGACTGCCTGCGTGAGAACAGAACCACAAACAGACTGCGACCAAGACCAAGGGCTGCTTTGCTTTCCTCAACGGCTCACGCCCAAGCCAGAATTCTTCATTTGACGAAGATCTTGTATTGGCGTAAATGTGCGTGAGGGGCCGTGGCAAGAGACGAGCTCCGCGCACCAGCTATCAAACTACCCTCTGTTTCCCAGTTGAGTCATGCTCGACACAATCATCCACGATGGCTATACGGAAGAGGATGGTTTCGGAAATGATCGCGAAATATAGATTCAATATGTCGCAAGTGAACGCTGGAGGGGATGACAGGGGGGATCCCACAGCAAGACATAATGGTCAATTATAATGAAAGCAGTAGCCGGGGTTGGATCCATCATTCTCTGCCTATCGCTTACTCAAGAGTCCGAGAGTGTTTCTCAAAGATAGCGAGGAGTGACTTCTCGCCTCGACTGTTTTGAAGTTCAACGCGCATTACTAGAACGTGTGTATGTGTGTGCGCAGGTTTTCCAGTCCCCTTCCACTCTTTTGGGAGTGGGTGGTTTTCGGTTTTCTCTATCGATGAAGATTTCAGCGTCAAATGCATAAAGAAATCGAGCAAAATCCCCATGAAGTCACAGTAGGGCGTCTTGGAAAAACAGTTTAAGAACTGCAGTCCCTAATATCGAGCCCTAGGTAACTCTGGTCTGGGATCACGATCGCATACATTTGGAAAAAATTAGCCATCTACATTCTCCACACCCAATCATACCTTCCTATTTTGGCTTCCCCACATTGCGGCTACTAAGCCTCGCCCTCAGAGGGTAAATGTCGGAGGTGGGCTGAAATGTCGACCAGTTCGTGCAAATGGGTCATAACAAAGGAACTTGGAGGAGTCAAAAAATCCTTTGTCCCTCACATAGCAGGAGGAAATGAGAGCCCCTGCTCATGCGAGAATTTAGTCGTAAATGTAAACAAGGGTCCCTCCCCCTTAAAAACACCTGCCTTTTTTTCACGTGCACGGCCCTGTCAACTGCACAAACTTCCCAGGCCCTCTCCAACTCCTCCCTTTACAGAGGAGACGTGGGGAGGGGGGAGAGAGAGAAGAAATCTGAGAAGTCATAGCTACAGCCAAGCCGCACACAGGGCTTTCACACCAGGGTAGGATTTGACATACGAGGACAATGGCATTTCCCTCGCGGGCATATCGTTTCGATTCACCCCAAATGCCCTTCCCGCATCATCAGTCCTCTACAAACGACAGTACAAAACGCCTTTCACTTATATTTTGAAGGCCCACCTGGAGGGGGGTTTTGGAGCAGATGACCTGGGCGTGGGGATGAAGGAGACAGGTTGACCTTGACCAGAAGGACTCGCTGATCTGGAGCTCTCTGCTGAACCCAGTCCTGCTTTCATCCCAGCTGATCCTAGGAGAAAGAAGCACAAATTCTGACATCCGTGCATGGATATTGTTTTACACGTTGTCGACGTACAGACGTTGTATACAGTCCTACCCCACTACACGTGTTCTACTTAGTCTGCTAGTGCTAATTGAGGCCAGATGTTTCGTCGGGGTCAAGCGAGGTCGAGAGAAACCAGATACCCCCCTTAGAATACAGCCCGATTACAGGAAGAAGAATGTTTACGAAGCGTGACGGCATTATGTATTTCTTCCTATTCGCATGCACAGTCCTTGCAACCGAGTCTTGCACGCATGCAGCTTATGAAGAGAAAGAGATGGGGTAAGCGTGATGCGCAGATGAGATGGCCTCGGCCATGAGGATCGCGTGGAGGGGGAAGGGAGAAATTGATGGGCAGGTGACAAAAATGTCATCAGATCTCATCAACCGGTTTAGCTTATATATAACTCAAGGTCACATAATTCAACATCTAGCGCACCTTCATACAGTCCTTACTTTCTTCTTGTACCCTCCTATGTCCCTAAAATTTGTCCAATTTACATACGAGGGTCACTCAATAAGTTATCTACCTGAATAAGAAAGAAACATCCGAGGGGGAAAATAACACTTTATTTTTCAATGTAGTCACCTTTTAACTCAACACACTTATTCCACTTTGATTCCAAGGATTTTATTCCCTGGGAATAGAAGTCAACTTCTTGTCCATCAAACCAATCAGAAACGGCAACTTTCAGCTCTTCATTGCATGAAAATCTTTTTCCCTGCAAAAATTTCTTCAAGTGTCTGAACAGAAAATAGTCACTAGGAGCCAGATCCGGGCTGTAGGGAGGATGGTTGAGCTCCTGAAAGCCACACTCCCTCACTGCTGCCTGAACTTTCCATGATTTGTGGACGGGCGCGTTGTCATGGAGAAGAAGGACACCCCCTGACAACTTTCCTGTTTTTCCTTGATGGCATCATGTAAATTTTTCATGGTGGTAGCATAGGAATCGCCAGTGATTGTACACTCGTCTGGCATGAACTCAAGCAGCAGTAGTCCCTCGCTGTCCCAAAACACAGTGGCCATAATCTTTCCTGCAGATTTCTGAACACGAAATTTGCGAGGCGTTGGCGATCCCTTGTGCTTCCACTGCATGGACTCCTGCTTGGTTTCGGGATCCCAGTGATGAACCCAAGTTTCATCACCAGTTACTATTCTGGGAAAAAAAGTTTCCCCGATTTGTTTAGAAAACTCCAAGTTTTCCTTGCAGATGTCAGATCTGTTCTTCTTCTGAGCTGGAGTCAGCATTCTTGGGACCCATCGAGAACTGACTTTGGACATGTGTAATTTTTCACGAATAATGTGAATCACTGTGCCCTCTGAAATCCCCAGTTCATGAGCTAAAGCAGAGACTTTGGTGCGACGATCCTCCAGTATCGCACTCTCCAATTTGTCACACGTTTCTTGATCAGAAACCTCCACAGGGCGCCCCGACCTTTGGTCATCTTCGATTGACTCTCTTCCCCACTTAAACTGCTTGCTCCAAAATTTAATTTGGTAATAAGAAGGCGAAGACACACCGTAAACGTTAGACATACGTTCATGAATCTCCTTAGGTGCTTTCCCTTCTTTGGTGAGGAATTTGATCACTGAACGATGTTCAACTTTCGTCAAATCCATGACACAAACTCAGGAAAAGAAATCTAATGCGCTACCACTTTGAACGGACTTGAGCCACTGAGCTGGTATAGTGGTGGGGCACTCACGAGACCTGTCGAGACATCACAGCAGGCACAGGCCTGATGCTCATCCCTTTCATATTCAGGTAGATAACTTATTGAGTGGCCCTCGTAAATGTTCTGTATTTGACTAGGTCAAATAATTGCATGAAACTACAGAAATATACATTGGAATATTCAATTTTGCAATTATTTTAGATTTTAAAGGACAATGAGAATCGTCAAAGGAAATGTACTTGTAGAAAGATTACTAGTCTTCCAATAGATGATAGAGCTATAATCGTGTCATATCGTATTATTGGAACATCTGAATAGAATTCTCTAGCACCAGTCGGTGATTTTCGATAAAGTGAGTCTCAATGCATTGCGCATTGAAAGCTCACGCAGGGTCTCTTTCTTTCTTCGACCATCATATCACGAGTGCCGAGGCCTCGTTCCTTCCACGCATCACAGGGACTAAAATGGGTGATTGGTGAAGGAGCCAAGGAATGTTGATGATGAGTGTTCATCTTCTCTTCCTTCTTAATGAGATAGGCGTCCATTCAGGCAAGCACTTCATCCTTGTCTCTTGAGTTCCTAATGGTCCACGAAGGATTTCCATCCCGTCTTCTTGAAAAGCGACACCGCAGACAATTACTACAATTGTAAAAGTACTACTGATTTCCTTCGGACAGGACTTCCAAAATCCACCTGCCATCTATTTTTATATTTTACAGAAAAAAAATAACACGCTGATATTCAAATATTCAATATCTTCTGAAGCTAATTGGCGTTTCGAATAAAGTCAAACTTATTTTTGATAGGTATTGTAGGAACATTAGCCCAACAATCGTTGAGATAGCGAGCCAAGAAATTGAAATTCGTTCCTCAAATGCGCAGGTTGTTAAAATTAAAATAAAAAGTTACTTCTGCTGTACAGAGACTTTTAGAACGCACGTGGCGTGACGCACGAAGCGGATAACTGGGTGTTAGACCAAACTGAATATGCGGATGGTCTCAAGTTGCAACAGAACATTCTACATTTATGCGTTCCCAGAGAACGAAGTAAATCTCCCGAAGTGTGCCGCATTTCAATTCCTGGAGTTTGTTCGGGGTTTCTGTTCGCGGTGGCTTATATTTCCACTATGATACGATGGTGGCCTCATCACAACACCGGGTTTGAATACATGCATCAGCTTTCACACGGTAAAATTGTTCCGACAGCCGATTTTTCTTGTCCTGCGTCATTCCATGTGCGTTTCACAGTTGCCCGAGCAGCAAATCTGACTACCGCAACTCTCCACACTTCGTGAATCCTGTACAGCCCACACAAACTTTCACGTCGTCGACTTTCGACGAGTTCCTTGCGGTCCCGGAGGGAAATAAAACAATATACTGGGAGGGAAATGTCACCTTCACTCTCTCCCGCGACGCTTCTTGGGTGATAAATTCTTACCCTACTCTCAGACAAAAATATTCATTTCCTTCCCATTCTGACAGTAGGGCATTGTTGTCCAAAGATGTAACTATGACAACTTGCCAGCAATCAAAATGTTCAAACAAGTTCACGGAGACACGAGATAAACACATGAGTAATGAACGCTATCGAGACCGGCCCCGTGTAACACCTGGGCCGACCACGTTATCAGCTGATTCATTTCAGCGTCCTTGATAGCAGGAGAAAGACGGGTAACGGTAAAGGGAAAAAAAAAAATCAATGGTGGAGTATGGTTAGGGGATCCATTCTCGAGCAGGAAACTCTTTATCCAATCTAGTATATCACTCCACCATGGGAGGTATAGTTTCCTCCTTCTCCCCTGCATACGGGATATAAATATAAGCACGGGGTCATTCCATGGGGGGATAAAGAAAAATGGCCTCTATAAAAGGTCTTGCATTTTCCTTTTCCTTCTTTCTTTCCAACAGCTGGGGAAATGTGCGATGGATTTTCCATCCATCACGTTGGCGCTTCGGTCATGCAACATCCTCAATAATTTCCTCTCCTTCCCTTCCTCCATAATAAAAGGAATGACCTCTTCAATGACCACCCGAAGCTGGTAATAAAGCCAATGCCCAAAACCCCCGCAACCATGGTCGTGCTTGGGCATCAGGCGAAAGGGCATTCGGAACGATTCGCAGTCTTCCCCTATTAGTGTCTCACCGTGCGCGATAAATGAGCTTAAAAATTTTTTTTTCAATGGCTACCAGTTTTTTTTTTTGGCGATGATAGCATTCAAGTGCCCCAGCACCCAACGGATGTGGAAACGGTGAATTCAGTGAAAAAACGCCTCGCAACCACTATAAAGAAAGTTTAACTAGCGCCATATTAGATTGTAGGTGAACCATAGGTTCTCCCCATGCGGTCAACACTGCATTATTTACAGGAAACCATCGTGGCCTTTCTTATACCAGTCAAGTCGGACTTCTCAGGTTATTTTTCAAGAGGTCCGCTTTTCCTTCATTCTCCCTGCAGTTTGAGCAAGTCATTGAGACAAGGGAATTCTGAATATCTCCTGATAGAGGCTCTCTTTCTCGAGGAGCCCAGAAACTGAAAAATACATATCGGGAAAACTTATAGTTCACCTACAATGCACACTTCATTGGAAATAAAAACCTAGAGTAAATTCCAATGGAATTTAGGAGCGACGTCATTGATGTATGTCTCCTGACGCTTTAACCCTCATTCCACCAACATTCCATGACGTCACTCCAAACTCCCTTGGAACACCCTTTCACTGCTGACGTGAAGGTGCCCTACTCTGCTACTATACCAATTCACAGCAATATTACAGGTCATCAATGGTCGACCCGGCACGATTGGATGAAAGGAAATGGAGGCCCAGTAATAACAGGACGGGGGTGGGGGGCACACTCAAGAATTCTTTTTTTTTTCTTCTTTTATTGCTGTCCTAATCGAACACTCGCTCAAGATAGAGTGTCAGCAGGAAACATTTCCTTCGATACTCCAAGGAATACACTTGGAGAGAACCAGCGTTGCGACTTTATCGTGTATGGTCATTCCACATTGCGCACGGTGGTGTTTCTGATAATTTCAACCATACCAGTGATACGAATCGCACAACTGCGCACCTCTCAAGCCTTGAATTCATTACTCTTGGCATAAAGCATGCGTCTTACTCCTATCCATTATCAAGTGGGCAGATCTGGATTCATATCAAGTTTCAACTTAAGATGCGCAATTTCATGAGATTTATGATACTATCGTCGATTTATTTGAGCCCAGCATGGCAAAACCATGCTGATCACGAACCACGTCGAACACTGAAAACTTGGGGGTTATGCGGCAAACACTCCGGAAGATGTATTTCCTTGTTTCCTAGGGGCCACAGACCCACGAAGGATGATCTATAGAATCACTCATTATCTATGTAACCATATATTTCTGATCGAGTTTGCAAGTCCTCTCTCTCTACCCTTTCTCTCTGTCGAAGTCACGACTCGTAAATTGAAACCCATTTCACCATCTCTACCCCTGTCCAGTCTTATTCACGCCCAGTACTTGGCAAACGTCAACAAAGCTCATTATTTTGCGATTGGCCGGTTATATGAAGTCGTCTTAAAAAAAAAAAAAAAAAAGGAAGCCTCAGAAAAAGAAGCACTCCATCCGCTATTTTAATGCAGTATCTCACGTCGAAATTCTAAACATGCACGAGGGAGGGAGTGTCATGCCCTTCACAGATGGTTCAGTTCCTCCGCGAGGGGGAAAAGAATAATATGGCCCCCTAATGGCTTTTTCCTTTTTTGTTTCCCTCTTGCCTGGGAGAAACCCTGCAACATTTTCGTGGAATGGCATATTAAGGAAATGCAGACTGGCGCAGACCTAATTAATCCGGTGGAAATGGATGAAGCAGATCTAAGCATCTCGACAACGTTTCCTGGCAAGAATATAAATGCTTCGGAAAATGGAGAGGGAAAGAGATAGCGAGTGTTCTCCAAGGAAGGATAAAGAGGGTGGGAGAGAAACTTCGGGAGTTGGATAAGGGAGAGTGCTGGAATGGATCAGGGAGACATCAGTGAGAGGGAGATTCATTTAGGTAGATGGGAGGGGTAAGAAAGAAGGGGGATTTTGTGGAAGATCTCGGATCCATAATGGTGGCACAGTGGAGGGGGATATAATCGCACTCTCACCTCCATCAATCACTCACGCACTGTCCCCCAACGAAATCCATCCCCATTTTATTGCATTTCGTATCCCATGATGACAAGACAGAGACATAATACTACCCTTCATTCCACTCTCATCATCCCCTTTGTACGTTGGAATTGGTCCCAGAGAAAGTCTTTCATCCAAGACTATACTACCTATATTTACAAGTTGAAAGGTTTCTCCTCAATGCTTTCAAGTGCTTTATATATGTGATAGAAACAGGCAGCCAATAGTGCTGCCAGTCTAGGATGCCACTTTCGCAACCGAGGCTGGATAATTTTTATTTTGTTGAAGAGGCGTACGAGCATATGCTTTTTTTTAATGATAACCAGTAACCTCCACCGTTCACAAGAGTTCAAGAAGTATTGCCAGGGGATTGGGAAGGGGGGGGGGGGAGTTTTTTCAGATGATAAGTGAGGATTTTATTGACAGAGACAAATTATCAAATGTACCAATGATTTCGAGATTGAGTTCGACCAATAAACCAACAGGTTTGTTCCCTTGCCAAGAACCGGTCCCACTATTGAAAAATGATAAAAGATCCACTACCCACTATCAATAACCTACATAGAGATGAAGATATTGTAAGGAAAATTAGGAGAAATGCCAATTAATATGAATCCTCCCCTAAGACATAAGAATGACATTCAATCTGCTCTAAATTTTTCAGAGCCAATTCCGGCACTTTCCCCTGTCTTGAGAAGAATCAAAGGTAAAAGGCATATTGACTCAAACATTTATTAATTTCCGTGGTTTGGTGATAGTTGATGCTTGCGGAGTCACAATGTCTAACTTCCAAATCCATTCCAAACCTCTTTAATACATCACCTAAATCTTTCAAGTATTTACTTTTCTCCTATTGCATACATCACTTAAACTCCAAAACCACAGAGCAACTCGGAGGAAGACTTAAAAACTTTCTCCCCCCCCCCCCCACATTCATCCCCAGTCACTTTGGCATCTGTTTCTGAGACTTCCCTCTCCTCGATTGATAAGCTTCTGTCGCGTCTTGTTTGCATTTATGATGGAGAAGTTTTCCCTGAAATGGAAGCCACTCGGTCCTGTTGAACCTCCTCCTCTCTGGGTTACCATCTGATAAGTAGCATGCCTTTTGAAGGAAAGACATCTCCATTAGGAAAAGGAATATGAGGGCAGTCTCTGGAATCTAATTAATATGTCGCTCTTCTCTTTCTCTATTCATCCTTAAATGAGATCCCACGCCTTCCCTTCTTTTACAACAAGGAAAGCTTATGATGACCATCTCTCTCATCTTGCTCGAAAACCTACTTAAAAAAAAAAAAAGAAAGTACAGCTTTCGTACCCGATGAGTACTTGGCGTCATTCGGTCTGGGAAAGGAAACTGATCTTGGACCGAAGCCAAAAAGGAAACTTCCCTCACACATCATTTATTCCATCTGGTTCCTCGACAACCCTGTTGCCCCGTTCATCGATCAAGGCAAGGAAATCGGCGGAAAATCCCCTCAACTCGACTTAGTCTTCTCCCTTTTTCACACTGAAAGCTTTTTCAAGTGCATGTTGGACTTTACAGGCGCCAATCTCATTTTGTTTAGTTTATATTAGCATGCAAATGATCCATTTACGGCCTGGCAGGATCTGGGAACTTTCTTTTTATCGTCTCGTGTTGAAACACTGCAGATGGAAGAGAAAGTTATATAAGCAGAGGGTATGAGAAGGCAGGTTGCAGAACAGACTTAGTGGAAGTTCGTGGAAGGTGAGTTGAAATAAGGAAGAGGAGATTCAAAGGACAAGGAGGGAGAGACTCTCTGCGAGAGTCCTCCATAAATCCTTGAGAGAATTATCCCCTTTGAGGATTCAACATGTTATAAATATTCAGGACAGGGATCTCAATTTTTTTCTTCCTCTCTCATAAACACGGGGTTCCATAATTGGGAAAGAGGGTTCTTTGGGTTATAAACGCTGCGCGATTGCCATGCGGAGCAGGTCTTCATAACGGGTCTCTCAACCTGACTCCGCTAAGGGCTGTGGTTCTATCACGCCAATATAAGACGTATGCCTCTGGTCTGGACAAAGAGAGCCCTCAAGGATTTCCTTCTCTAGTAAGACCGCCCGTATGGCATTTTACATGTCCCATCCATACAGACGAGGAAGATCCTATATCATTCTCCTAGACTCTCCCAATGGTCTCTCGTTGCAGATGGGGTACTCTCGTATTGAAAAAAGACGATAACTGGGTGAGAGGAGGAGAGATGATAGCAAGGATCAACGGAAGCAAAAGAAGAAACATGAGGAGTTGCAGGCACAGGAATGAACCACCCGACCTCCCGGGGCGCAGCGTTCGACTGTCTCTTGTTAGTGTCAGTGTCTCCCTCCCACACGTATACACGCTTTCATAATAACACATGCAAGTACTCTGACGTCTACTTAATCCTTTGGGGGGATGGGATGTTCCTAGTTGTTCCATCGCTTCCACAGAATGGGCCACACGCACAATATCCGTTTAATAATAATCTGATCTAATCACTTAATATACAGACATATTCGGACATATGCGACAAGGAGATTAATTCAGTTAAACCGCTTCCCTTGAGGTAACACCATGAAGTCAGATTTGTTTCAAGTTTAACCAATTCGGTGCATGTTAGCCAATATCAAACTGCAAAACTTTTTTTTTACCTGGTCGAGAGGTGGTTGCAGTGGAACAAGGGTTTGAGTTGGAAACGTTCCTGAATGTCCCCCCCTATTATGTGGCTGTGTAAACTCCCTTTGACCTGGTTAAGAGGTGATTGATCGATCCGTTGGAAACGCAATTAGAAGTCCGAGGCCATTCAGTGCTCATCGTATACTCACTCCCCACAAGTTTCCTTACCAACCAGCATGAAATCTGTCGGCAAGTACGCAGGTTATCCCTTCGATAAATTCGGAGCGGGATCAATGAGGGGAAGAGGGATGGTTAGAGGGACACGAATCAGAACTACCTATTCTAGGCCTAAGTTTCTAAGAAGAAAAAACGAGAGCTAAACTCAAAAATTTATTTCTTGAAGAAATATATCGTCGGTAGATTATAGTCGGTAAGAAGGAATAATAAATAAGATGGGAAACAGGCTCGAATGGGATTCACTATTGCCTACACAAACCTAGGAATGCTATTCAATTCTTTCCTCCATACCCCCCCCCCCCCCCCCCTGATAGCCAACTCTCCCGGTTTCATTCAGAGAGGAAACAAATATTATCTATTACCTGGTCCTGAGGCGCCGCACTCATTTCAAGTCCATAAGAAGGTATCGGGCCACGGCTATCACATCTAACAGTGGCTTGAAAATAGGGACAGCTGGGAGGAGGAATCGGGGCACCTGTACCTCTCTCCACTCGTTAGCACGAATCTCAAAACCGGTCCCCAAATAGTGAAACCTCCAGGAAGACTCGAGGAAGACTTGGCAACCCTAACCTCTTGTGGGGTAATATTTGGGAGTAAATTAGCGGGGAAGCAATAGACAAGCATATTAGCAACCCCGAACCAGCCCAACGTGCAAATGCTTCCACAGCTTATTCTTTAAACTACCTAGGATCGGAGTTTCTCGTGTCTATGTGTATTATTTTATTCACCAATACATTTTACAAGTGAAAAGTCCCTCAGTTGGTTTTTTCCCCCTTATTTTATGTACATCAACATCATCATAGAATACCGTCCTGAAATTTAATAAGGATCAAGAGGAAAAACGCGCCTGATCCATATTACTGGAACTCTTTACCAATTTCAACATTTCCAGCATGTCTCCCTCTGGATTTTAAAACTTTTTTTCAGCGTCCCCCTTCAAGAAATGACCACTTTATCGCGCTCCACACTTCAGACTTGCGAGCGGGAAGGGGGGGACCTGATAAGGTGTGAAGGGGCCTTGGCCCCCTCCCCTCCCCATACGGGGCGCGCTCCAAAAGTAAAGCTGATGGCCAAGGTCAGAAGAACGCACCCTTACCTCATAAGTAGGCCTCTAACCCGCCTAATCATCCTGGTCAACAACACGTATTTGTCTGGTGGGAGTAGGGTTAGAGACGTTTCAGAATTACCACCCCCACCTAGGTAAGGGTGGTAATTCTGAAACGGTAAATTCTGCCTGGTGAACTCGTCTGACCTGGTTGAGAGGCGGTGCGAGTGGGAGTGAAATTGGGGATGTTCCTGGATGCTCCCCCGCCCCCACTGGAGCGTCGACCACTCGTAGTCCCTGTCCCAGGTCCTGGGATCCCACTTCCTCCAGGTCCCCTTCCGGCTCCTGTCGACGATGGGGCCGGCAATCTAAACCGCAAAAAAAGCGAAATTCATCGAGTTAATACCAAACTAGAAAGTATATTCAGAACCATGCTCATCTCTGTTATACAGCGTCATTGGAATGGTACACTGTTCAGTTCCGTTCCAAGTATTTGCTAGTTTACCTAACCTGCCACCCCCGACTTTCCCTTTCCGTCGGTGAAGAGGAAATAACTACGAGAGAGGCCTATCTCTCTTGTGGATCGTATTACGTCACACACCCATTCATTCATGCATTCACCCATGTGGATATGCTATCTCATTGTCTGGGATCCATGCACATAACACCACTTCCTCATGTGATTAAGGTGGGTATCCTTGGTTTCCACTGCAGACAAAGGGGGTATTTTCATTGAACTCAAGAGAGAAGGCAACCTCTCTGAGGAGTGATTGACATGTTTCATCACTCCACCCTTGTCAATCCCTCTCTCTCTCAGTCACATTATGGAAACACTGTAGAGTTGACCCTCCCAGACGAAATGTCGAAACGCCCAAACGCTCAGCGCAGCTGACTGCAAGTACACGACAGCATTCACCAAAGAACCAATGAATGAAGAAATCATCCCAGCTGTTATGAAACAGCACGCAACTGTCGTGAGATGACTTTCAAGATAGGCATCATTAAGTTATTGATGAGGCGGAAGGCGGCAGGCCTACCTGCAGTTCCCAGTGTAGGGGGAAGAGGGAAGACTCCGACTTCTCCTTCCGGAGTGGCTGTTCCCCATTTTTCAAACTGTAAATTGCACTTTTTCCCTAGTCACAACGCATCTGTAACACAATGTGACGCGAGGAGGAAAAAGCGAATTTAGAGGAGAAAACAAACATTTCAGGGCTCTTATCTCCCTAGAGCGATGACACAGAAATCCTTTTAAAGCCGACAAAGAGGAGCAGAAATCTCTTCCTGAGGAATGAGGGGAATACACACGACACAAGGCGGGTAAAGGAAGGATGACGCTATGGTCTCTTATGGGCTGGTCGAGGCACAAGCTGTGCAAACGAAAGGAAGAGAGAGTTCAACGGTCGACGGATGGCGATGAGGCACGGGTCTTGATTGCACTCAACGACATTAAGGCTCTCCGTGACCCGCACACCCAATCAACCTAGTCCAAACACGACCGCGAAGGAGATGGCCCGAAAGGAAGATGAGAGCAAGAAACTGATGCCAGATGGCACGTGGTGCACACGCGTCCCACACCAACTGACCAGACATCGCCCGCATCCACCCGGAAGTCGGCCAATCGGGATGTCTGTCTGTCCAGTAAGGGCGGAGTTTACTGGTGAAAATTGCAGTAAACAAATGAAAAAAAAGGCAGCAGGTGCGAGCAAGGAACTTTCCCCTCGTAAACAATGCTATTAGATTGTTATGATATCTCCGTGCGTGTGTCGAATCGAAGGGAGTGCACCAGTAAATGGTCAAGCTAAATTAGGAAGCATCAAATAGCAGCACGATATCGCGTATCACTTCTCCGAGGCCACAAATAACCCCTCGCTCATTTCACTGTTGCCTCTCTAAACATCTCGGTTTTCGTCTCATAACACTACTTCACGCACACACAAACACATCGTCTCGCACTGAAACGAGAGGGAAGAAAAGCATCACGAGGTGGGAAGTTCATGGATGATGATGAATGGATCTGAGACCCCAACGATACGCGATACATGGGAAAAGGCCAGGCGAAGATGAATCGGCGTTCTCTGTCGCTTGGAGGAGGACCAGATAAGGAATGCCCATGGTCGCAGGGCAGCACAGTCACAGCACCGTGGAATAGGGCACAGAAGAGGGCAGCAGCAGATGCGGCCAAGAGAAAACCAGCTGCATTGAACGGCAATGTGAATGTGAATGCCCATGCTTCTCCCCCCCTTCTATCCTCTCCCCTTTGTGAGCTTCACAGGCAAGCACCCCCCTCTCCACTCTACTCCATGCGGGAAGAGAATCAATCTAAACAAACCCCCTCTCTACCGCCCCACACGGCAGAAAGGGCACTTAGCACCTGTGCGACATCTAGTCCAAGAGCGCGCAAGCAGACACTTTCAGAAGCGACGCAAAGAGGCCTCGCTTACTTTCCCACGCCAGCGGTCGCTTCAAATATCACTCCTGGTTGTTACCTCTCTCTCCTGTTCATTTATCGCTGCGAATCGATGATTGGAAGGCAGAGGAAAGCGGGGACTATGGCGCAAATAAGTTTACATCAAACGCAACTCTTGATACAGGAACAGTAATTCCCAAGAACTGAAGCAACACTTCATCTCTTTGCTTGCTCTCAAGTTCGTCTAATGAAAGTTCTCGTGAGATTTTTTTCTTAATGAATTCAGTCAGATTCGACTCTGGAACACAACTTCTGATATTCCCGCGAGACACATCACTTTTAGTGGCATGCACATACATAAATGCTGTCTGACTCACTTTGAAGTCATGTTGAGAGAAGGTTCGGCGGAGAGGTGGAGCTGTTGCTGCTTGAGTTGTTGTTTGTATCGGGATAGAGAGAAAAGGAGGCCGAGGATGGCACGAAGATTCCCGTCTCGAATGTCCTTTGGGGTCACTCCTTCCGCTGTCACGCCCAAACACGCCAGGAAGTTCACGCACGCCCTCACGTTCTCCAACTGTATACACACACGTCCACGTGCGCCTCGTCAATCAGTCTCCGCGTACACACTGACAGTCGGAGAAGCCTCGCTCTCCGAACTATATATACATCTCGACCGTATGACAGGAATTTTTTTCACTTCCAGATAGCAAGGAGGCGGAGGAGAATGATATAATCAGAGTACATGGGCATAAGACTTTTGGGAAGGTGGATGAACAGGATAATGAGCGTGGGAATCACAAACCCGTTTCACGTCCCCCCAGGCTATATCTTCTCTTTTTTTTCCCTTCTTTCTTCTTCTTATCTCTCTCTCTTCCCTCTTTACGCTCTCATTCCGCATTCTCGTCTTGTTTCAGAGAATTCTGATGAAGATCAACTTCCTAATCGGATGAGAATTTCGCGTGGATTCTCTGATGATGACGCGGAATGGGAGGCGTGGTCCTCATTCTTCCCGCGTGGAAACAATAGAATGGGGCTCGACAAAGAGCTCCCTCGTTGTCATGCAGGGCATATAACTGGAATACCTGCGATGGGTGAATCGAACACGTGCAAGGTCAGGACTTGGATGATGCATTTGGAGGGTTTCCAACGGGATCGGATCCCTTTAAAAACGATTTCCGTAAGGAGTTGCTTCCGGCTTCCCTCCGACGGGGGGGACCAGGTGCAAGTCTCACAAATAAAGGGAAAACGCGGGGTGGAAGAGCGAAAAAAAAAAAATCCAGCCACACGAGATGCACTTTGCCACATAGGTTATATATACGTGGCGTCCTTCATATCTCACAGTCACTCTCCGATCCTTTCTGTGTGAGTGCCTGCATTCTCATTTCTCATTTGGGGCTCTGGGGAGCCATTTTCCCTGCCTACCAAGCCTCGACTGGACCTGGATCATGTCTTTCTCCCGACCTTTGCCCTTCGTCGCATGCATGTGTCGAGCCCCATCGCTTGATCGGATCGAACAAAAAAAAAAGCTTTGTAGTCGTTCTACTTATCCAGGAAGCTTGAGGCGTGGGAACCGGTAGAGCAAGAACGATACGGCCCTTACTTTCACTTAAACGATTGGCAATATCAGCAGACCTCGAAAATGAGAGAAATGAAGTGATTGCATTGCGGTTGCATGGGTAAGCAATCTATAAAATGGAAAAAGCTCCTACATGGAAGGAAACACGTGGATGGAAGGTTTCCCGTGTGAATGGGTCCTTAGTTTCCCTTCCGCATTCCCGAGTTCTGCTGTGGTTGAGATTCTCACATGGGGAAATCCACGGAATCATCGGGGTAGGGGGAAGGATAGGGGGAGAGGAGGAAATCCGACTCCGTCTCCATGTCTGGGGTGATTCAGCAAGGACACTTAAAGGATATTCTCTCAGATCCCTCTTTTAGTGTCCATACTTTTGGAAGAAACAAAACGCGTGAGTAGAATATGGAATGACTCAAAAACACAGGTCATACTACGGTTGCATTTATTAAACTGCATGTAATAACTTAAAATGCTTCACCTATCAGATAGTTTCATCACTGAGTCATGGTATACCGTTTGAAGCCAACAATAAAATGTTGAATATTTGCTATGTTATTCAGCGTAAGGAGTGGCCTACATAGGACACCTATATAGAAACCAGGTGAATAACATCAAATCATGATTAACATTGCATTCTGAAATGTAATTTGCATCATACTTGATAAATCAAATTTACGCATGATTTTCCTTGAAAATGAGTCTGTTATTTGGCTATCAGGAATCTGACTAGTCAGATGGGGAAAGGAGCGTTCTTCAACGCCCACTCGTTCTTCATATCTTCAACGTTGTCCACATTGGTAAAACAGTTTTCAATCATAATTAAAGTATTGCATTTGAACCTTATCTATTTCATGTCAGTTAGCAGATCTTTAACCTGAGATTTGATAACTTTAATAGTTTCAGAAAGATTCGCAATTTGGGAGTACTGTTTTGTTCGTTTTCCCATTTCTGACAGTCGCTTTTAGGTTATGATTTGGTATTCATAAAGGAAAGGATCGTATTGCATCAGCAGAACTAGATCCCATCTTCTTACTGTGCCTCGCACGTGAGGGGTTGAGAGTTCAGGGAGAGTCTTTCGAATGCAGTCGAGTCTCTCTTGGGAAAGGGGGTATGGCCGAATGGAAGCACACACTTGTCACTTAGTAGCTTGTAATGGGCCCGGCATAGAATCAGAATGAATGATGAATGCCATCTCTTCTTATCAGTCTTTCCGTACCAGGCAGGCACGTCCTCCTCTGTCGACGATTATACACTCCACATACGCGTGAACTCCTTTTTGCGTGAATGGCGAGCTCGACCGCATTCGACGCCGTCTTAGTAGTATCATACCCCCGGGCCTTTCACTCCAGTCGATCCTACGAAAACCCCCATCTCATCTCGTCTTTCCTGGAACAATTTACGGTTGCGGCTTTTCTTGAGACAGAGAAAGCGAATGTCCTTGGAGAGATTCGAGAGAGCGGAAAAGGGAAGGACTTTGGTGGCCGGAAATGGCTCGAGATCGTGATGTCATCCTGTCCTTCCCTTCTTTCTTCTATCGACGTAACGACTGGGCAAAAGTGCAGCGGTGGCTCAAAATATATCGAATCTGGAATATCGACCGAGGCCATGTAGTACTTGGGGTGAAGGCATATCGAGGTCTCGACTCGCCCCTCTTCTTCGAACTGAGCAAAACCGAAACCGCAACACGGTTCCGGGAAATGTCTACGGTAAAAAAAAAGGAAAAAAATCCCAACAGGGAGGCCTGGAGTCACGTTCTCTACCAGACATCAAACATGCAGGATGGAGTAGTTCAAAGCAAGTATGCAATAAGAAGTGACGCCTGGGATGCATATGGTATCGTAACATCAAGAATTCTCGCGATCCTACGAGAGGCATTCTCTCCTTGCGAGAGTTCGAGGTGAAAATCCGGGTATCCAGAGCAACGTCGGGTCCAAAACAATCCCAAAACCTTCAATTATTGGAATCGGCATTGCATGTGCTGTGTGCAGTAACATCAATCAAGCATCATGCAAATTCCGACAGTCCGCAAACACTTCGGATAGTGTAATACCAGTAATGGTCATAATAAATAGAGCAACGCCACTGCAACAAGTTTTGCTTTGGCATGTCACGACACAGGTGGGAACTACTACAGGTGTCTTCTCTCCTTTTTTTCTCTTCCCCTCTATTGAGTCACATGTCCCGGCTGTCTATATACCGGCACGGTGGTTCCACGCAAGAATGAACAGCAGACCGAATTGCATTCAGTAGGTGTACAAGCAGTAAGAGGGCGGGGGAAGAGAAATCGGGGATGATCGAGCTATCCCCATCACGAGGAAGGGAGATAATGGTGAGGGGGGGGGGGGGAGGGAAGAGGAAAACCCTTCCCTTTTCGTCTTTCCCCGGGATTCCGTGACATCCATCTTAATTCTTCAGTCTCACACGCGTTTCTCTACGGGCGAGACTTTTCGATTACAACGGTGGTAAATGTGAGGTGAGCACGAAACGCAGCAATCCTGTACGCTTTTCATATTCCTTTCCTCTGACCTTTTGAATTTCTTCACTGTCATGCGAGGATATGAATCACGTTCAACTTCTCTCTCCACAACTGTAATCTGTATACATTGCACGAGTATACGTTAGAACCTTGAGCAGTTTTTTTTTCGTCTGGATCTCTAACATTCCAAGTTTTTTCCGCTTGTCTTTAGAACTCTTGAAGGCGGGGATCTAATACTACTCAAGTATGCACGTTGGAAGGAGTGCAGGTGCAATGACATGCTGGGAATAGAAGGGAAGACCTTGAAAGGTGAGCGGATAATGAGAAGATCTGGACTGACAGGGGAAACAATAGCTCGAGGCTGTGCATGGATTTACGGAGTAGACCTGAGCTTCGAAGAAACGAAGGAGGGGGATTTTTGACAAATTCCTTCCTTCCTGCCAACATTTCTCCCCCTCCGTCAGCCTTACGACGCTTCATCTCGGTTTCCTCTCTTGCTTTTTTTTCTTCTTTCACACATGCCCGACGTCTGTCACTCAGATATGCAGCAAATAGCTATAAATAGGCCCCAATCGACACGTTTCAGCGCGACCCATGGAGATGGACACGAACGGGGTGTCATTCACGTAACGTGCAAGCGCAGCAACGAAGACTTCCATATGGGGTAGTCAATTTTTCTTCATCACGACCCTCTGGCATAAATTCCCCCGACGCAGACGACAAGCCTTTCATTATAAATTCATAGAAGACAGAATTAGCGCTTGCTACATTATTCAGCACGTAGGCGCGCCTCGTTTTGTTCTCTCTCCTTCCTCAGCATTATTTTTTCACCCCCATTCGGTATGGAAGTAGCAGCGATAAAGACGTGTTCATTCATTCATGAATGTAATTTGAAGCTACAAGGGTATGGAGGCCGGGGGCGTACCTGATCAAGGCGTGATGGTCGAAAGGAGAGAGTGCGGGGAACAAGACCTGAATACGTATCATGCTACACACGTAGTCCAGTTACAGGAGCAGTCAGAGGCAGCAGAGAGGTTTCGATCACATGATGACGGAGGTATGACTCACGTACGACTGAGCGGCTGAGGCTGACTGGCAGTTCGAAGAAGGAGCGCTCCAGGCAGCCGCTACTGCCCCTGCCGTGTGCACGCCTTCCCCCCTCCCCTACACGCCCCCTCGAACGTGCGGGGTGCGGTGTCGGTCTTCCCCCAACGACCCGATTATTGCGTTCTCTCCCCCTCTCTCCCTATCTCTCGCGAATGAATATCCGCTACCGCTTCCTCCTGTTCTGTATAATTTGTTAATACGCTGGCTCATCTCCGGGTACCGACAAAGTCCAGGGTCACGTCGCATTCGCAGCATTTGGCATGAGAAGGGCAGGCGAGGGCAGAAAAGAAAGTGAAAACCGTGGAAGAAGGATGAAAAACGGAAAAAAAAAATAAGGAAACGAGCGGGCAGGAAGCCAAGCAACTCGCTCCGAATTGGAGCGAATCCCATCCCTTGCAGCACGAAGCAGAGGCAAATCGCTCAACAGCACGGTATGTCTATAGGCTTCGGGGGGATTTAGAAGAATTCGATCGATTGCAGCCGGATAGTATCGTCATTTGGCACCATAATCTCTTTATTCGCCGAATATCACGTCTCCCGTGAAAAAAAAACGTGACAATGCATGGGTACTTACCTCTCCCCCCAATCCCAGTACTACGCACTGTAGCACTGTCTCCATTATTAGACATCACATTGAAGAAAAATATTGTGCCTAGAACGCTCATAAACTCATGATTGAGAAACAGACCTTAAAAAACAAAGGCATGAAAGTAGGAAAGGGAGATATTCTTGGGCTCAATGTTACAACGGGGAAGGACAAATGGACTCACCATCTGAGCAGGTCCTTTCGGTTTCCGGTTGATGTCACCCACCTTCTGATTTGCTATGGAAGAGGACGTGGACGATTAGCTTTGTCTATCTGAATCTGGGGTAGGGAGAGACAAGGAGGAAAAGGGAAAGAAGGAAACAGAAAAGGAGGAAAAGGGAAAGGGGAAAGGAGAACAGGATGAAATAGGGCAAGGACTCACTGACGGCCTCGATGAGGTCGGCAAGGAGGACGCCATCCACGACGTCCGTCTCCAGGTTTCCGATCCTCTTCTTGCATTTCCCTTTCTCCAGGTAATGATTCCCCCAATCCGTATATATCTAACGGGAAAGGAAGAAGGAAAAAAACTTGTTGATGCAGAGGAAGACGGATGAGGGGATAAACATCCGATGGAGAATCACTCTCCCGTGCTGACAACCCTGCTCATCACATAAGACCAAATAAAAATATATTCTGTTGAAGATTTTTTAAATTAAACCAAGGGGAACTTGAAATAGCAGATACGCTCCGGATGACTTCATATCATGATGTGTTCGTGTGAGATTCCATTAACCTATTGTCATGAATATTCTTGGACATAACGACCTCTACATTTCCAGGAGCGAAAAAAAATTCAAGTTTGAGAATGAATGCTGGAAAAGAATTGATGTTTATATAATGTTTTGATATTATTCTGGGTACTCACCCACTTGACTTGAATGACTGGCAAACAGGCGAGACGGAAGCGTTTCGTAAGTCTACAGCAGTGGTGCTGCCCAACCTTCTCGGCTCGGGGGCCACATAGCTCACTTCCACAGCCATCGTGGGCCATATGCAGTTACTAGTATTGTAGGAGATATCTTAAGGAAACCTGAGGGTATTTATTGCGGGTTAGGGCCTCGCGGGCAAGTTTTTGCCCGCAGGCCACGGGTTGGGCACCACTGGTCTACAGTATGGCTCAGTCGTGAGACTAAGGCCCGAATGTACAAACCTCATTTAAGGGAGATAAAGGTGCCTCTATAGAGCTCTTTTCTCTCATTGGGGTCCATGTTTTCTTAAAGGACCATTGACTAAAGGTGATTTCGGCATTCGGGCCTTCAAGTTTCGTCATTCTCGGCCTATGGGTTGACTCGGTTTCTTTTTATCCTCTTCGAATTGGATTATCAAATGGAATCACGTCACCTAATACCAGTGGCGATCTGCAAGAAGCCTGACAGAGTATTAAAAAAATGCTATATACGACTTACCCTAGTAGCACCAAACATTGAATCAACATCCGGACGCTGAATCAGCATTTAATCAATGTTGACCCAATGTTATGTGCTACTGGGGTGTGTTCAAAAGTAAGTCGGGGGAGAGGGGAGGGGGGGGGACGACGACGTGGGATGATAATTGAAACAGAGGCATGGAATGGTTCAGGAGGCCTGGGACTAAACTGGTTTGGGCCAGGTCAGGGTCACGTGCCAGGCTGACTTTTTTTCATGTCCCAGTCTGCCTCATACTCCTCTACGTGAATCATCACCGGCGCGTGCGCGTGAGGCGCTCCTTCCTTAGGTCATGAAGGGATTTGAACATTCTCTCTTCTCAGACTATTCTGCTTCGTTGGGGCGCACCACGTGATTGCTGGCTTTTTTTTCATTTCAATATATTTTAATCTTGGATTTTGTTTAGCTCATGTCCAAAATGAATTTTTTTTTGCATCTAGAGTGTTCACTGAACACCTTGAACATACTGACATGCTGTGCTGCTGATTAGTTGAGAGAGGAACACCTAAGGTTTCCATTCCTATCATGATACATGAGGTGTACACGTGTGACCTATTTCTCCCATTAGCACTGATGGGCCACTTTTCTTTCTCCTAGGCTTTGTATAAACATGAACTGGATGTAATGAGAACCATCAACCGACCTTCCATCCTACCTATGCCAACCCACCAGACAGAGGTGGTTTATAAACATGAACATCTTCGAAACCGAACACCTTGAGAGTAGGACCCGCGCTTAAACAGCAACGACTGCGCAGCTAAAGCAACTAACGAACTTAATACAAGTTTTCGCCCTGACTAGAAAGAGAGAACCCACGCATGAGAGTGAATTCGCCTCCATCTGTATTTTGAGTATTTCAAGCATATGCTTCAAAACCTTGTCTGTGAGTCTAAAAGCTGCCTCAGAGGATGCGGTTGAAGTGAGGACAGAAGCGATTGAAGGCCACTGAACCGGGTCGATGGTTTTCTTCTGGTGTCAGTAATGGCGCGAAAATCCCGTAGCTTCTCATATCACACACCTATAATGTTTTCGACCCACTTCAAGTTTTTTCACAACGAAATGCGAACAAGGGCGTCAATGTTCAGCAGCTTCAGCTCATGAATAACCATGTTGTACCTGATTTGGTGCCTGGGGTTTCTTCTCGTATTTCGTTATCGGGAAGGTTTAAATTAGGGCTGTTCCAATTTATCGAAAACCATTGGTATCGGCCGTGGTGTTGCACCATCGGCCATCGGCAAGGTGTAAGCTGCCAATGCCGATGCCAAAAGGAGGGGCAAAACGAAAAAAAAAACTTGAGTGCTTGAACGGAGCTAGGCGCCGGCCCTCCTGTCTCAAATACACTCTTGCCCGCCGCTCCCAGACAAAAATATCGCTCGGATTACATTTCAGCCCGATTGTAGAAGCCGGCGGAGGAAAATAGCATTAGAGAACAGGAAATCACTGCATCTCCTTCTATATTGAGCTTTCACTTGTAATTGAATGCTCTTAGCAGCAATAGGTAACGAGATGACCACTGACGGACACAGACCGACAGACAGGCTGGATAGGACTAAAAATGGTCTTTATCGTTTGAAGGAGGCCCACTGATAAGTATCACATGGCTTACAAATAGGCCTATTTAAATTATTATGCGATTTTAAGTTACTTTCTTCTCAATCTACAGATCACAATCGGCTCCGGCACCGGCACCAGTCGATGGGCATGAGATCAAATCGATCATCGGCCCACTGGTCAAAGGTGGCCATCGGTACAGCTCTAGTATAAATAGATGGTAACTGCAACTCATGCGGAAAAGGGGCCTCGGTGCAAACGACAAGAATAAGCATATTCCAGTTGGAGCATCGCAGCAAGAGTAGCAGTAGTGAAAAACACCAGACTTTGGGCGCATGTCAACATGTTGAAAGAAAACTCTGACACTTGGCACAGACTATAAGAAAAAGAACATTGTGGGTAGCACATTCCACTATTAGGTAGTTGTCATGACGGTATTTTTTTCGCTATAGACTGGATTGAATGAGGAATTTTGACTTTTCAAGCGGTTCTTAAGATTTCCATTGCTTGGAATATGAGAATTTAATCAGTTACCTTCAGAAGAATGCCCAATAACTGTTCGCGAGAAAAGTCTGAAATTCGAATCGACAAACCACTGTATTGAGGAGAATACTGCGATAGATGGGTTGTATTTACATCCGCTATCGCTCCAACATTGTGTCTGTCATTCAATATAAAGATTTCGAGGGAAATTTTCCCTTCGTATTACGCAGAAGATGGAAATGGATATCAATTTATAGGAACGGTCGCTTTTTCATCAGTTCTTTCCTCCCTCACAGGCTCTTCAAATACAGAATGTCACAAGCAAAAGAAAAAAAAAGCAAACAGTATAATACGACGGTATAAAAAGCTTTCTTTCTTTAACCAGAACAACCTTTTTTGCAATATTTCCTTCAAGCTCAAGATGCCCTTGCTTCAGGTGAAAATTCTTTCTACCCACAAATCGTCACTTTGGTTTATCTTTGCAGTATAGCCGAAAGTCAGAACGGATTTCATGCGATTTGAAACTGATACTAGAGTTATAAATACATATCACTAGGGCAAGCAACCTCAAAAATTGAAAGTGTCCCTCTGAATGGTCAAAATTAAACCAAAGCTAGCAGGGTTCAACAGTTAAACCAGCGACATAAGAATTCTGCCCTGGCCCTCTCGATCTTCCCACTGGGAGAGGGGACTAACATACGACGATAACCCAATCACGCTGAGGACAGCCCATTCAAGTCTAGCTGACTTCGATCAAACTGGTAAATATTGGCGAAACCTCTTTTCATGGTGTCTTTCCGACATAGCTTGTCAATTAGCACGAGTGAATATGAATCTCATACCCTCGAAAAGAGCTCTCATCAACACTTTCATCGACATGGTCACATTCTACAGGTATTTGGAGTTTCTGTGCCAATACCATCACTGAAGCTCAACTCCTTGCTCTCGTTGCTTTTGGCGATGAGCATTGCACTCGCGTGCAGCTATTCCAAAGCTACATGATCGGTGTCCCCATTCACTCTCAGTAGGTCTTTCCGAAGAGGCAAACTTATTTTTTTTTTGCGTTGCTAGTAATGGAACTTAGGGGGAAAGCCTCTTTGCCCTGGAGCACCCCAAAAGCCTGCGGGTCTTGTCATCAACAGAAATATGAACAGTAGGCCCCCCCCCCCCACTCTTCCCATTCCGCCATGTTATTCTAACATGGCAAACAGATGGAAATTAAAAGTCTGAAAGACACGCACATGCGTCAGAGCTTCTTCCCGAAAGTAAACTGCTCTCCTGCGCTTCGTTGACACTCAAGTTTCGATCATTCAAGTATCGAGGTGAAACCCGTCCTCTTACAATAAATGACTCTACTGCAAGTGGATCTATTAAAGAATTTAATTCCATTCTCCTTGAAGTGAGAATTGCCCCCGGCGAGTCGATCATAATGGAAATGTAACGTTCCAGTCTCGTCACTATTTGCATCGGCTAAATGTAATATTATCTCGTCATTATATGACGAGAAAATGCTTTGGGATGTCGGTCGGTGGAAAACGTGGCAGCAGGCAATTAGAGATTATCCATTCATTGAAATGACGTGATTAGAGAACGACTTTGAGACCTCTATTTACATTGCTGGAATACGAGTTGGAGATCTTCAGCATGGTTTTCTCCTTTCACGATTAATCGAGACCTGTCTGTGAGGTATTAGTACATCAAGGAAGTGCATCTTATCTGTTTCATCTCTGAGTAATACATGGCTTGAGACAGCCGTTCACTTCAATCTCTTCTCTCTGGCTTGCATCTCCTTCAGTTCAGCAGTGAGTGACGAGTGCGTCAAAGAGAGAGAGAGAAAGAAGAGAGAGTTCTTGCGCCTGCCAGTCCCGAATAACCCGCAATCCCGGGAGGGAGAAAGGAGTACCATATGCTGACAGGGGTCGAATGATCCAACCTTTGTCCTGGAATAACCAGTGTCATATACTCAGGCTGAGTCCCAATGGTGCGCTCTCACATCTTGCAAGGCTTATAGGGTGGTTGAGACGAAACTGCTTGAATAATTTTCTTAATAACTTGTTGCAGAATACATAGATTTCACTGAAAATTGACACAATGTGCCTATTTTCTGCAAAAAACGCTATTGTAGCACAGTATGAAGATGTATCAGACATCAGCATAAAGGTATGGACGCACTGACACTTATACCACATTTTGGAAACCATTTTGCTGACTTCTTGAAGGAATGTTCAAGACATGTTGCCAAACATTAGTTGGATCTGTCGAACAAAGCTCCCCCGAAGGTTAAATAAGCGACGTCTTCCTGCTGATTGAGATATTTCAGAAGCTTGCAATCACCTATTTGACTTTCCACATTAGTGATAACTAATGAGAAATGAGAAATGAGTGAGAAATTAGTAATAACAGGAAGAAAATCTGGTAATAGTTTCTCAGCTTCCTATGCTGTAAAAAGCACGAAGAGTCCTCTTTTCTCTCGGAACCTCGCAAGACGTTTCCTGTCCAGACTTCCGGAACTAGACAGCTGCAGAAGATTGAT